GAGATCTGTAGGAAACATGTCAAAAGAACTCCAAGTGCTAAAATATCAGACTGTCAAACAATCTTACATTTATCTGGTAGGTAGTGGCCCGTTACTTATTATAAAAACAAAACTGTCATGAACGATGATAGAACTCTATGCTGTTTCCTGTCTTAGTCCTTTTGTAACTCTTGCTAAATCTGGTTCCCGCTAGAATCCTGATATTAATTGAATTCATTTCAGTTTATTTCTATAGCGCCAATTCACAACACATGTCATCTTAAGGCACTTAACTGTTCACCACATCATACAGTCAGATTGATTAAAAGTTTTCTATCTTAGAAACCCATCGACTCATTGACTTGAATGCAATCCCTCACACTAAGCATGCTTGTAGCGACAGTGGAGAGGAAAAACTCCCTTTTAACATGAAGAAACCTCCAGCAGAACCAGGCTCAGTGTGAGCAGCCATCTGCTGAGGCCGACTGGGGTTCAAGGAGACAGAAGCAGACATAGAAAAAGCAGCTGTAAAAGGCGGCACCATCCAGGAAACATGTCAGAGGATGAAGAGAGCAAATCCAGCCAGTCACAGTCAGAGAAACAGGACTACACTGAAAAACAGGCCGAGCTCAAACATCTATAAACAAAGGTGTTGATGGCAGCAGCACAGCTGATATTTCTCTCCAGGATGGAGTCACAGCCAAACTATTAGCTATGTTGCAATGCAGTGAGCACAGATATGTGTTTCAAGATGATAAAGTAACACATTTAGTGATGAAATGGTTCCACTGAGTTTTGTTATGTAGACTAGATTAGCATTGCTTCATGAAAAACGTACAGTGATGGGCTGGGCCCGGTAAATACCCTTAATAATTGAAACACAATGGGAGTCATTTTACCAATTTTGATTTTCAAATGCTTATATCTCTGGTGAAATCAAACCACTGCTTCTCTCTGTTTAGTACTTTTCCTAACATGGATATAGACTGTTTTGATGTTTAAAATGGAGGTCTTCAATAGGGGTTCTGTGACCCCTAGGGGGTCCACAGAGGTACAGCATGGGGGTCACAAATGTTTTGGTTGATTAGAAATTATTTTTATATTCCCCCTGACAATTTTTCCCACTAATTGAAATGTCTTTAAATCTACATTAACATGAATTCAACACACTGTAGTAAACAGATAAATCGAGGCAGAAGATGTCTTTCAGTCATCAATGCGCACATTCAGCGACACACTGGAGCTCTTTCAAGCTGGGCACCGTTTCATTCACAACACCTGTCCCATCAACCAGGAATCAGAATCAGAAATACTCTAATAATTCCAGGGCGAAATTACTGTTGTTACATTACTCCATCTGTAATAGAGTGACTATAGGACTAGTTTGATAGAACACAATTTCATACAATATATACTGTATAATTAGGGGGTCCCCATCTCGCCATCAGTGTGTGAGTCCTTGGTCTGGAAAATGTTGAAGACCCCAGGTTTAAAATATTAATTTGCACGGAAATATTTTACTGCGTCTTTGAATAACTGATACTGATGGAGCAAGTGGGATAAAAATTATGACGTTTGGTAGTTTTAGTGGTATTAAAATTCAATTCAGTTTATTCATATAGCGCCAGTTCACAACACATGTCATCTTAAGGCACTTTACAGTTCAACCAGATCATCCAGTCAAATTGATTCAAAGTTTTCTATCTAAGGAAAACCAGCTGATTGCATCGACTCATTGACTCAAATGCAGTCCCTCACACTAAGCATGCTTGTAACAACAGTAGAGAGGAAAAAATCCCTTTAAACAGGAAGAAACCTCCAGACATAGAAAAAGCAGCTATAAAAAGCAGCCCTTTCCAGGAAACACACAGCCAGGCAGATGAGCTCTGAGCCAGTTTTCATGTCAGAGGATGAAGAGAGTACATTCAGCCAGTTACAGTCAGAGAAACAGGACTACACTGAAAATCAGGCCGATCTCCAGCATATATAAACAAAGGTGTTGATGGCAGCAGCACAGCTGATATTTCTCTCCAGGATTGAGTCACAGTCAAACAGGAACAGACCAGATGAAGCTATGTGAGAAAAAGCAGAGAGAGAGCAAAGAGTTGGAGATTGAACTAACAGAACCTGCAGAGTGGGAGAATAGAGACATAATAATGCATAATTATGAAATAGGGGTCCCTATGTCCTCCAGCATTCTAAGCCTATAGCAGCATAACTATAGAGATAGCTCAGGATAATATGTCAGATATGCGACAAAGAAATGTTTACACTTAATATAAAAAAATATTTTACAGGTCTGTGCTTACAGGTCTGCAAAGTTCAGTCAAATGAATACCTGTTCCATTGACATCCCACATCATGAAGGTCCTAGAGAGAGACTTCTGTTGGTTCATCTGAGCTGGAGAACATGCAGAAAACATGTGAACACATACAAGCTCTGCATTCTGAGCACCGCTGAAACAAACTTGTTTTCTTATCTGATTACGTTCATAGATTAGCGGCCTTATTTATCACATCATTCTAAGTGGATGTTGGTTTCCACTAAGATGAGAATCACTTGACAGCAACAGAGGAAGTCCGAGGTTTTTGGATAAGGCAGATGTGTAACTACAACCTGCTGGAGTGGGAAACCTTTATTCTCATAAAATACGCAATACATGTCAGTCAGCTACCTCTGTTTGATCAGTTTGAAACTGGAAAAGTAAGCAAAGGAGACATAATGTTGGCATAATCTGTTTTTTCAGTCAACATCCTTCCAGTCCTCCCACTCTGGGTCCTCTAAGGTCACAGTTTCTTTTTACCTAACCGAACAATCCCAATGCATAAAGCCTTATTTGGTGGAATGATCTCAGTTAAATTAAGTTTTTAATAATGAAAACACATTTTGTCCATGGTGACCTCAGCAAAAGAGTCAGCATGTTCTGATTAAACCAAAGAAGTGAATAAATGCTACCGGATGAAGATCGAGATGTACATTTCAGCTTCTGCTCATTCCATCTTCGCTTTTGTCACTTAATCCTGGAAATAAACAGATAATAATACAAATCGTAACATTATTATAGTGTTAATACATAGTTTTTCTTTTGCCCAAATATTATTAGTAATAAGAATTAAATTGCCCAATTTAGATAATATTCAGAGAGTGAAAATTATGGCGTTACTTCTGTTCCATTTTTGCTGCAGGCAAAAAACGCGTTTTGTAAATGGAAATAAGAAAATAATGCAATCTTATATCAAATCAAATAAAGTTTTGAGAGCAACTTTGCTATTTTTCTCATATTTTAGTATCAGGCATGAAATCAGATCTAAGGGGGGAAAAAAGCTAGTTTTCTCAAAAAAAACCTTTTTGTAATCAAGCAGTTTTTCCAAGTTTTATTTCTAGATAGTTTTTTTAATGTCAAATGAAAAACGTTCACAGAATATCATCAGCAGTGGAAATTATTTAAATTTGCTCTGATAATTCTGTGGATTAGAGGGAACACTACATTAAAAAATAGCTTGAAGTTGATCTAACAAACGAGTTGAAACTTGTAATTTTGATAATTCAGATAAGTCAACTGGGTCAGAACCGTCCAAACAGTCCAGGTACTGTAGTTACCTCAAGCGCTGCCTCACATTCTGAGGATAGAATAATGATGCTTGAGGGAATGTCAACAATTTCATTATTAATACACTAATTCTATTCATAAATAATCCCATAAAACTTTCCTGCTGACCACTAACTGTCTTCTAATTAACCTTAAACTTTTTATCTAGTGAATATCGGCTTTATTATTGTATTAGAAAACTTCAGGAGCTCTAAAACTGTGTTTCAGAAGCACAGATATTGTTTCCCTCATGCTGTTGTTCATATACTGGGAGGAGTAAATCAACTTCGTCTCATTTCTGTACCAGGAACTCAGACGTTTCTGCATGTGATCACAGAGCCTAATGCTTTGCACTGCTTTAAACATATTGATTGTCCAAAATTTTTTAAAAGCAAATACCACGTAATAAAACAACAAGAAGAAATTTAATGTTCTGCAAATTAATTTGATTCAGATTATGGAGGATTATAGAAGACAGGACTATGGTTTCCATCACTGCCTTGTTGAATCTGCTCATTCCCAGAGGTTCCCAGTTGTTTATCAAAGGCTAAAAAAGCAGTAGATGTTACTCAGAGTCAAACAGGGTGTAGATGCAACGTATGTCCTGAGCAAACAGCTGAGTAGCTCAGCTCCACCTTGGCTGGAATATTATAAAAGGACTTGTCCTCCTGATGGATTCTGTCATAGAGCGAATCCATCGGACCAAAATGGGGCCCCAAGGACTCCCGCAAACACTGTGGTTGGTCTACCTGGCGCTGCTGGTTGGCTCCCTGTCTCAAACTGGTAAATAAAACGTTTCACAGCATCACCTTTGATGTAGTTTAAAAAATGTTTATTGTTGTGAATTCAGCAGCTGAACTGGTTCAGGTTCCTGATGTAAATGTTTGTCTCTCAGAATGTCCTTCTTTCTGAGGAGCTAATTTTCAGTTAGGTCCTAATTAAAGCCTTTGATAGAAGTAATTTAAAGGTGTAATGAAGGATTTTTGCGAATTAAAAAAAACAACAATGCACATAAACAACCCCATACCCGCTCCCTAGAGGGAACGTATATGAAACGTGTGTGAGAGCGCACGCTCGTGCACGCTCGTGCATGCTCTGTTTTAAAGTTGCTGTTAGCATCACTCTTACAAGCTGATTTTCTGAAGAAGATTTGCAATTTTTCCACTATGTAAAACGTACAAATCTCACCACAATAACTGACAATTAGGAAGACCAGTTATTTTGATGATCCACCTAAAAAAAAGAACATCCCTCCACTGTACCTTTAAGAGGAAAACTGTTGAAACTGAAGTCTTTTGAAACTGGTTCAAATCCCTCACAGAATCCCCAGTTTGATTAAACCATTTCATGTCCTTCACTAAAATCAAACTAATGCATAAAACATGCATACTGGGGTCAGTTATTCAGTTATTTCTTCTTTCTGCCACAGTTTCTACTGTCACTTCTATACAAACACTGGATCTGAACTCAGGTAACGCTGCAAAATACCAACATTTTCTGATTCTATAGACGTCTGTAATTATTTACTGATTTGTCGAGGTTTTTTTTTCTTCCTAGCCAACACGTCTCATTTGGACCGAGTCTGCACAGCCTGGGGCCACTATCACTTCAAGACCTTTGATGGAGATTTCTTCCAGCTGGCCTCCACCTGTAACCATGTGCTGGTCTCCCTCTGCAAAGGAAGCTATGAGAGTTTTAACGTGCAGATGAGGCGCAGCCTGGTGGACAACATTCCCACCATCGGCAGCATCACCATGAAGCTGGATGGTTCAGTGGTGGAGCTCTCCAACAGCTCAGTCATTTTTAACGGCCAGCTGTAAGTTCAGCCCACTGACTCCACATATTAAACTACTTATAAATAATATAATAAATCATTTATTATTTTGTCTCTTTTAGTTTTTTTTAATCCTGATCTTAAATCCTTCCTCTTTGCTGCAGGGTGTCTCTGCCATTCGTTGCATTTGGAGTGACCATCAAAAGGACCACATCAAGCATCTTTGTTGAAGGGAGTCTTGGGATTAAGGCTGTCTGGAACCTGGATGACTCCTTAGACGTATGAAGGACACAAACACACCCTTATAAATCAGATCTGCTAATAATCTAAATCTTTTTCCACAACATAAAAATTTTAAAACTCCTAAAAATTGTGAGGTGAATTTTGTTCCATTATTATTCTAAGCAGAAACACATTGAGTAAGCTGAAATTCTAATTTATTTCTCATATTCTAAACCAAAAAAAATATAGTTTTTATATATCTTATTTTTTCAAATTGTATTTTTTCACTTTTTTTGTTACAGATTTAACATTATTTTTCCAGGTCACATTTTAAAAATATTATTTTTCTTTTTCTACGGTAAATGGTATTTACAGGTCACATTCTTTTTATTTCAACCTCAATACAATCTCTTGCTTTTGATGTACAGATTGACCAATACTATATGGTTTCTAATGTCTGTTTAGACCAATAGAAATTTATCTTCTCTCCTTACTCTTGAAAAAAAGCCCCAAGAATTGAAAAGAATGTGATCTGAAAAGTACGATTTGAAGAGAAAACAATTCAAAGAACTCGATCTAAAAAACTGAAACAAAAAAATAAAAAATGTAAAAATATTAAATCTCGTTTATAAAGTTTGACAAAAATATAAGAATTATAAAAGTTGAAAATATCAGATGTGCAAAAAAATTCAAAAACATTTTTTTGAAACAGACAAAAAAATATGTATTTGCAAAAGTTACACTCAGAATTTTTTTCAAAATTTTATTCCAAGATGGCATTTCTTTCTAATTAAAAACCGTGTTCTATGTGTGCAACAATAATGGAACAAACTTTACTCCATAAAAATTCATTCCTCCTGAAGACACAGATTTTCCTTATCTGTCTAGATTTTTGCAGATGGATAAAAGGATTTATTTTTTTGCAGCTTTCTTTTTTTTTTTTAGTAAGTTTGTTTCCCTTTAAATGGTTCCTCGTCCTGCAGGTTGAGGCGGTGGTGCAGTGTTTGGATTGGTCAATGAAATGTGATAATTGAGGTTTTAACCATCAGTTGCTGCAGGTTGTGTTGGTTCAATCTAACCAGAACATCCTCCAAACTCAACTCTGCATCTAAACCTATAAATATTTGTCATAATAATGAGATAAACAGGCTTATTAATGCTCTAAGTTTTATGGTCAAGAAGTAGATTACAACAAAGGACCTAAATCTCTGCATTATGTGACCAATATTTGCTCTAGAAACTTTTCAAACCAAAAACTAATCTTTGTATCTGTGTAAATGTGTTAGGAGGCACATTGCTGTTCTAATGTGAGCTTTACACACATTTCTATAGAAAATATCATGATTAAAATACTGACATGAAATCTAAAGATTTATTTTCTTATGTTTTGTGTCTTTTCAGATCGAACTGGATGAGAAATATCAGAACCAGACCTGTGGGCTGTGTGGGAACTTTGACAAGATATCCAATGATTTTATGAAAGATGGTACGGCCATTTATCATAATATTACAATGAGAAAAGCTGATTATTCCTCTGCTTTAAGTTCTCCTTTCTGCTGTCAGTGATTTTAAATGTGTTAAAATGTGCCTGATGAGAGACAAAGATCAGCTCTGGTCAACATAACCAGTATAAAGCAGCACTAGCTAAATGTTCTTTAATCAAACTCAATTTGAGGATCTTTTTCTGTAAAGGCTCTGTTCATCTGACTGTGTTGTTTTGTAGGAGCTGTGCTGTCTGTGGTGGACTTTGCTGAAATCTACAAAGTAAACGGGCCCACTGAGACCTGCGTGGAGCCAGACCTCAGCCCAGTCCAGAGCTGTGGGGACCAGGTAAACGTTCATAAACCCCAAACTGATAATATCTCAGAATTCTGACTTTTTTCTCAGAATTCTGGCTTTAATCTCAAAATTGTTGTTTTAATCATCTTCTGCGCTTCGATTAATGAAAAAGCATCACCGGAGACCCGGTGAAAAGTCAGAGTTTGGAGAAAAAAGTCAGGATTCTGAGATTAAAGTCAGAATTTTGAGAAAAAAGTCAGAATTCTGACTTTTTTCCCATGTTAAACTCAAATCAAATTTAGAAATCAGTTAACTTTTTTATTTTTTCAGTGGCCCTAATCCTCTTCTGTAGTTTTTTGTTTGCAACATAACAAAGCAAATTTCCCTCCACATTTATTCAGGGTTTCAAACCTTTTTCTGTCCATCAGGCACTAGACATCCCTCTTTACTAGCAAACCTCCCTTATATGAGTTAACCCTCCTTTAAGCTGATGGAGCCTCAGACTAAACTACCTTTTCCTTTTTCCCCAGCTGCTCTGTGAGGAGACCTTCTCCAATGATCCGTTTAGCAGCTGCCAGAACCTTCTTGATGTTGAATCATTTACCAAAGCCTGCATGGCTGACATGTGCAACTCAGAAGAAAACACAGACGCCATCCTCTGTAAAACCATCTCAGAGTTCTCCAGACAGTGTGTCCATGCAGGAGGAAGCCCCCAGCCATGGAGGAACCAGACGTTCTGCTGTGAGTTCATGTTTTCCAATTTAAAGACCCTCCTTTCTTCCCTTAAATCTGTTATTTCAAGTCAGGATTATTTTCCCCATAAATAAGTAAGCATAATTAAACTGACCTGTTCTCACAGACAAGCCGTGTCCGTTCAACATGGAGTTCATAGAATGTAGCAGCCCGTGTCAGGACTCCTGCTCCAACCCACAGGCCAGTCAGACCTGCGACTCCCACTGCCACGATGGCTGCGGCTGCCCGCCCGGTATTTCCACACTCATTAGGTCACATCAAGGTTCCCAACCAGGGGCCCCAAAATGAACACAGACTGATGGCGCCATAAAACTACATAGAAGTACTTGACTATTTTTTTAGTAGCAAATAGAAACTACAGTCATTCATCCTTTTTAAAAGATATAATTAGAAAACAGAGTTTAATTTTTAAATGTATTTTTTAACTGATACGACATTGAATATTTTAAACATGTATCAACTAAATTTAAAAAGTCTGATTTGATTTTTGACCCTCTGTATTTACAGTAAAAGTGTTGCGTAGTTTATCGTTTTTTTGTTTCAGCTGCAATAGCAATGTGCAAAAAAAACCTGTAGTGCAAGAAAAACCACAAAATCAATATAAAACAAATAGCTTTGATGAATAGATTTTTTTTTTTTGAAATTTACAAAAAAAGATGTAATTAAATCAAACAATAAGATATAAAACGTTTTTCCCCAAAATGGATGAAATCAAAGTTTCTTGGAACCAGATAGAAAGTAAAAAGATTTTAAAGTAGAATAATTAGATATTAAAAATATTGTAACTATATGAAAACTTCTTTTGTGTATCTGTTCCTATATTAATATAGATATCATTAAACATTAAGAAAAGAAACATAAAACAATAAATTGTTCTTGGGACCTCCCCTAAGCAGTCACTTTGTTCACTCATGCATTGGGCCGTCAATGATCACAATGATTCAGAAAACCACCTCAGGACCCTGCAAAGGGTCCCAACCCCCACTCTGAGAACACCTGGGTTGCATGATGCATATTAAGGAACATGCAGAAGGATTTCTACATATGGGACATGCAAACTATGCAAAATACGGCTCCAAACTAATCCTATGCAACCAGTTTAAAAGATATGCATTCCAGTCTGAGTTTGCTGGAGGTTCTAGATCAAGCATTGGCCTCTTTTGTGTTTTCTGCTTGAAAAAAGTATTGAATAAAATACATTTTTCTGATTTAGTCCTTTAATAAAACACAGCAGAATCATATGGTTTTGCCTCACTATCAAAGTAAAGTTTTTACTCCCAGAAGTAAATAAAAGAATAATTAAAAATTCCTTTATTTATAGACCAATGAAATAATGTAATGTAATATACATTGTGTAATGTGATGTAATTCCCACTAAAACTCATGGATATAGGATAAATGGTATATTTAGAGAACAATGGAGGAGATAAAATGGGCTTCTGCTGTTTTGTAAATGTAACTGAAAAGCATCTGTAAATGAAATTAATGTTGTTTGCAGATTCAGTATATGAATAAATCGTAGTTTATGGCCAGTTTTTATTAGATTTACTTTTTATTGTATTATTGCCTGTTATCTGCTCCATTAAAAATATTGTTTTACATTTATGTGTTTTATGAAGGACCTAAGGAAAGCCAGCTGGCTGTATAGTTCAGCTAATGGGGATCTGAATAACTAATGAACATATCTGTCCTCCCTGCAGGAATGGTGTTTGATGACATCGGCGGCACAGGATGCATCACAGCTGATCAGTGCCCATGTGTGCATGGGAAGCGGATCTATCGGTCCGGAGAGTCCTACTCATTCAACTGCAGATCCTGGTAAGCTGGGATAATGTCTTACTTTATCAGGACCAAATATGGTGGGAAATACAATGATAAGATTCAAAACCTAGATTAGCTGTTTATTGTTCTATATGTGACTCCATATTTGCTTTGAAACCCAGCTGGGTAAATATCTGCAGATGTCATAGCCTGAATTAAACTCTAATAACAGATGGGAATCGTTTTCTGTTCAATACGTCCTGGAGCTGCTCACCATGTCCTTTATGGGGTGAGCTTTGTTCCATTATTGTTGCAAGAGAAGCACATTTTGTAAACTGAAGTAAAAAAAAAATTTTTTTATACTGAAATTTTACACATGAGAAATAAAACTTTAAAAAAAAAGTTTGAAAAAAAAGAGAGTGATATTGCTCTTTTCTCAGCTTTAAAAAAAAGAAAATTTCCAGTTTTGCTTTTTCCAATTTTGATGCTTACAAATTCTATTTGTTTACAAAATAAGTGATTTACTGATTTATATTTTAAAAATTTTTCTTTTCCAGTAAAATTTTTCTCACATTATTTTTATATTGCCTATTTTTTATTTTTTTTTTTCAGATTGAGTTTTATAAATTGCATTTTTTTTCTTTTCATATTGCTTTTCACGGATCATCTTCTCTTGTTGCTAACGACCAGCAGACCAAAAGAAATGTATCTTAGCTCCTAAGTCCAGAGGAACGCCCGCCCCAGAGATGAAGAGAATATGATCTGTAAATGCAATTGGAAAATAATAAAGTTTGGAAAAATCTTTCTGAATGAAAGAAATAAAAAGAATAGATATTTTTTGGAGAAATTAAAAATAACATAACAAAATAAATGCATTATCTGCAAAGAAATGTCTGAAAACTCGAACTTGAAATTATATTCTTTTCACACGTCCATTTACAAAACATGTTCTTTGCAACAATAATGGAACAGAATTCATTCTGTAGTCGATTAGGATCCAATAATCTAGTGAACCACAACTAAAGGAATGCTGTTTTAAATGAACGCCTGTCAGGAGAGGTGGAATTAAACTGTGTGTGTTGATAACAGCGTTTGTCAGAGCGGCCACTGGACGTGTGCAGAGGAGAACTGCTCAGGAACCTGTTCGGTGGAGGGAGGAGCTCACATCACCACCTTTGATGGAAAAATCTACACCTTCCATGGAGATTGCTCCTATGTTCTGGCAAAAGTAAAAAGCTTAATGGCTTCTGTATATTTAAATGCTGATGTTTGGATTTGTTTCATAATAAATGCACACTCCCCTACCCTGATTTAGGTGTGTGGTAACTGTGACTGGTGTTAGCCCTGATGCCTTTGGTTTGAATGTGTGTTGCAGCAGAGTGACGGCTCTTTGTACACCGTGCTAGTGGACCTGGTCAAATGTGGTCTAACAGACAGCAGGACTTGTCTGCGAGCTGTTACTCTGGCTCTGGGCAGCAACGCCGTGGTAAGCCTTAGACACCAACACATAAACGCCACAATATTCAAGACTTGTGACCAGGTTACCTTGGTTACATCTGACTTTAAAATAAACCTCGGTTGGACAGCAAGGAATGCCTCTAAGATCATCACTGAGAGGTGATAATTACAAGTTCAGAGGAGAGCGGAAGAAATGAGATGTGCAGGAAGGAGCTGAAGAGAAGAAACAATTATATCAAGACTTAGATTTGGGCACACAGGATTAAACAGTACTTTATTCAAAATAGGTAAACATAACATTGGTAGGTGTGAATACTGTGAGTAATAAGAGACAATTGAAGATGTAATGGTACACTGTAAGAAGTATGAAAGGAAAAGGAGGGAAATTGTTCAAAATCTGAAAAAATAAAGAATACACTTTGATTTAATAGAAATCCTTAGAAATAACTGAAGAGATAAGTGTTATGTAATTGTTTTCCATTATCTTAGATTAATCAATTGAGAAGATCTGAATCTTATTTTGATTTTGTTGGTTTAATTTTGTTAATTTTATTTTGTTGGTTTTGTTTTGTTTATTTAGTTTTGTTCAGTATACGTAAGTAAGTAGTAGTCATTCAGATCCAGACTCCATATCAGTCGGTGGTGGTAATGCACCATTTTGATGCGAGCCAACCTCAACCCAATAAAATCCCATAAAGAAGAAAATAGGTCACTATGAGGCGCCGTCACGTTTGCTCACTCTGGTATTTTCTAACTGATTGACAGCTTTGCTGACCTTTGATATTATATAGTGTTGGACCGATACCGATACCAGTATCGGGCGGGGCCCCAATCCGGCACTGAGTAACAACAAATAGGGCACTGATACCATTTTGAGAGCCAAAAGTTAATTCAACTATTGTCCCCCATTCCAGGTAGGCAATAAAAAGTTCTACTTCACTTTGTATTAGTCTTTTTCCTGGCAATAATTTTACATCCAAGTAGGATGCAATTCTTCATATATAAACACACACATCAATTTCAAACAGATGGTATCAGAATTGGTCAATACTACACAGCCAGTGATCGGTATCAGAGCCAAAAAATGGCATCAGCACCATTATATGTACTAAAAATAAATAAGCGTAATTACCAGAGCCCCCCCTGAGAGGAGTAGATCCATTCACATGAAGGTTTAATTGCTCAGCTAATTTAATCAAAATATTTGTTTGTTAATATGGCATTCTAGTTTTGAATATTTTTTTTAAAATGCTAATCATTTAAAATGTGTCTCATCCTAAAATACCAGGTCATCAAAATTCAAGCATCTGGACAACTTTATGTCAACAACATTCTCTCTCAGCTACCATTGTTTACACGTGAGTATATTTTAATATTACTCTCCATTCAACATAACTTGCTGTGTTTTTTCTCATTGACTTTTATTGGTTTCCAGTCATATTTACCTCCTAACCCTGACAATAACCATTAGCAGTGCATGCCTGACCCTAATCTTAACCTACATTTATTCGACACTTTAGTCCTAAACCTTGCAAATAGCAAAAATGGAAGTGAGGACCAGCAAAACATCCTCACTCTCTTACAAATGGTCCTTGATTTGACAGTGAAATTGTAAAAACGCTCCTTAGCTTGAGCTGCCATTTAGTGTGCAGCAGCATGCTTGCCAAAACTTGCTGACATGTGGTCAACTTCATAAGATAACTGATGATATGATGGAATGCCAGAGAACGTAGAAACTGGAGAAAAAGTGATCTTGAAGAAATTAAAGTTGTTGGGCGTGTTGTTTTGATGCTATCTGTTGGCGTTCTGGTCACTGCAGCGGAGATGAGCGCCTTCAGGCCGTCGTCCTTTTATGTGGTATTCAGCACCAAAGTTGGAATCCAAGTGATGGTCCAGCTGTCTCCTGTCATGCAAGTCTTTGTTTCCGCTGATGTGTCACTTAAAGGAGCCACGTCAGGTACATCTCCACATTAAAGAATCGTTTCTGACATTCCAGCTGGGGACTAAGCCTAACTGGATCTTACTGACATCTTCTGCCATCAAATGCTCAGCAGTGTCCAAAAATTCTCCACAGGATTGTGCGGGAACTTCAACAACATAATGAGTGACGACTTCCAGGGGATCAGTGGACTTGTAGAGGGAACCGCTGCAGCATTTGCCAACACCTGGAAAACTAGAATCAGCTGTCCCAACATTGTGCAAAACTTTGGAAATCCTTGCAGCCAGGACATCAACAGAGGTACAGATAATTCCTTGCACACAGTGTGTCCTCTCTCCATACCTGATGCAATAAATGGGTCTTTGACAAATCTCCCCTGTCAAAGAGAATGAAAGAATGAGAAAGAATGAACACTGGAAAAACAGGCCCATCTTCATCATACTGAATATATTATGGAAGTTGTTGATGGCAGAAGCCCAGTTAATGCCTCCCTTCAGAATGTTGTAAGAGCCAAACAGAGCCAGACCAGATGAAGCTACTATTGCAATAAAAAGAAAACATAATGTTCAGGTATTAAATATTGGAGAATTGAAGAATAGATCCCCCCCAAACACCAGACGTCATTTAGACTTTTGTTTTTTTGGCTAAATCTGGTCAATCCTTCTTGATTTAGTCCAAAAATTATTTTTGAAAATTCGGCTGCATTTAGTGGGTCTGAATTTCTCCCACATTAGTCCAATAATAGACATTGAAAAGACATTGCATAACCAGTTTTCTAAGTTTTTTTCAACAATCTGAAAAATTTTCAACCAAATGTAGATGCCGTCTGGACGTAGTCATGTTATTTTCAAACATTTTTTGCTCGGTGGGGAAATAGAATTGAGCAGGGAGAGGAAAAGTGTCTCCTCCGCCAGCCAAAGTCTATAGCAGCATTAGCTTTCCTCATCACTGAGGATTATATGCTTTGCTCATAGCCCTAGAATCTCAGAAAATTTAGCAGTATGAGTGGCACCATCCATGAGATACTTGCTACTGGGTAGCATTCAATATTATGCTAACTCCGCGGTTCTCAAAGTGTGTGGCGCGACCCACTGGTGGGGAATTGAGACGTGACAGGTGGGGCGCGCCAAGTTCCGGTGTGTGTGTGTGTGTGTGTGACTATAAATGTAGAATGTGTGAGAGCAAACTGTCCTTATAGCTGTATGTTGCCGCTTTTTAGACCAATCAAACCCACAAAGTAATCATTACTAGCCTACATGTAGTCTAATTAAAAGAACATTAGATATGAGAAAAATTTCCCCTGGAACTGAAGTGCCAAAATAATGATTGACGTGACGTCGGCATATTATTTGTAACAGAATAAACTTTCGCGCCCCAGTGTTGCCAACTCAGCGACTTTGTCGCTATATTTCAGACCCCTCCAGCGACTCTTTTTCAAAAAAACAAATCTAGCGCCTTTTGGAGACTCTTACGTGAAAGCACGTATCGTTCCTTTTCTTGTCCTCCAGCGGCAGGTGCTGCCGTGGGGCGCCTCCCCCGTCCCAACCCCGTTCTCCCCCGCTATTGCAGGAGTCCCTATCAGCGCTGCAGTCAGAGCAGAGACACAGCATGTTTAACTTTTGCGTCCAGACTGCAAATAAAGCGCACATGCGCCGGGATTGACGGCGCAGGTTGATCATAAATAACTGAATTTGAAATATTCTATCTTAAATAAATAACGGCGTTTGATTCACACAGCCACATGTTCATGTTTCTGGTTAGGAGTGGAGAGCGAGTATCCACTCATCGGGCAGAGAGCTGTGTGCATTCTTCTTCCCTTTGCCACATCATATCTCTGTGAGATGGGCTTTTCAGCTGCTGCTTCAATGAAAACAAAATACAGATCTCAGCTGAACATTGAGCATGACTTGAGAGTGGCAGTATCAAGCCTGCAACCCCGTTTTGAGAAACTGCAATGCAAAACAGGCTCATTGCAGCCACTAATGCAGGGATAAATAGACCTGTCTTGCCAGATGGATTTCACTTCTTTTCTTTTATTAACAGATTGCAGAGTGGCACTTTAATTTTTTCTATCTTTGAGCTTGATACAAATTTTGACACAGCTGCATTTTTATTTTCTTTATTTTTGAGCTTGCTGTTATTTGATGTAGATTTGTATTTAGATACTACTTGTTACTTCAATAAAATTGGAACATTTTAAGATTGTTGAATATTTCATTAGCATTGTGTTGGGGCGATGGGGACAGGCGGGGCTTGAAAATTCCCCCTTGTCCAAAGTGGGGAATGACAGAAAAAGTTTGAGAACCACTGTGCTAACTTAATTTGGGCATTTTTGTGTTTCAGAGACATATGCACAGTACTGGTGCTCCAAACTGACAGATCCTGTGGGAGTGTTTGCTCCTTGCCACTCTGTTGTCAGCCCCAGCTCATACAAAGATGTATGTCTGCAAACTTAAGGAATTGACCACATTTACAACCATTTAACCATCATAGATTCATCCATGTCTGCTATGTGTTTTAACAGAACTGCATGTACGACAGCTGTAACTGTGAGAAAAGTGAGGAGTGCATGTGTGCTGCAGTGTCTTCGTATGTCTACGCCTGCTCAGCAGCAGGAGTCCACATCAGAGGCTGGAGAGAAGCCATCTGCGGTGAGGGAAACATCAGAGAACATAGAGACACAACAGCCTGCGTGGTAGATTAGAGTGTTACATGAGGTTTTCCTTTTTTTAATACACAGGAAAGTTTAGCCAATCATGTCCAGAGGAGACAGTTTATGATTACAACATGACCTCCTGCGGTCGGACATGCCGCTCCCTCAGCCTGGCAGATTTCTCCTGCCAGGTCAGCTTTGCCTCTGTGGACGGCTGCGGCTGTGCTGAGGGAACCTACATGAACGAAGAGGGAAAGTGTGTGTCCAGTGAAAGCTGTCCCTGCTATGATAAGGACACCTTTATCCCCGCTGGACAGGCTATCATTAAAGACGGAGTAACATGGTAAAATTTTCATTTTAGGTTTATTTAAACAGCATTAACAGATCACCGTTTATCATCAAAGATCAAAGGGAAAATTACAACCAAATCAAAGACATCCCATTAAAAAATATTGGCCCCTGTATTATGTTGCTAACAAATAACATATTTGGTAAATGAAAATTTGAAGAAAATGAGATCCAAAAATGAAACCTTGAAACAAGAAAGTTGATTAGGCCAGCTGAAAAAATAAAAAAAAGTTAACTGATTTTTAAATATTATTTCAGTTTAATATGGGAAAAAATCTCAAATTTTCTACTTTTTTTTCTCAGAATTCGGACTTTAATCTCAGAATTATGACTTTTTTCCTCATAAGTATGACTTTAAACTCCGAATTGTGGATCTTAATGTAGATGGGCACCATGAAGGAAGAGATGTGGGAGCACTCAGCTTCACTGACAAAGATGTGAGTTGTTTGGGAGGGCCAGTAAGACACTGGTGGAAAATGTTGGGATTAGCCGACTTTTTACGTGCCCGAGGGGTCCCTGGTGATGCTCTTTCATTAATGGAAAAGCAGAAGGTGATTAAAACACGAGAGCTAGTCTCTAAAACAAAAATGGCTATGGCTTAATGTTAACATGTATGTTAGCTGTCAGAATTAAGTCAGAATTCTGAGATTAAAGTCCGAATTCTGAGAAAAAAAGTCAGAATTCTGAGATTGTAATCAGAATTCTGAGAAAAAAGTCAGAATTCTTAGAAAAAAAGTCAGAATTCTGACTTTTTTCTCATATTATACTGAAATAAAATTTTAAAATCAGGTAACTTTTTTTATTTTTTCAGTGGCCCTAATCCTTTTCCGTATTGAAAAGCTTCTTATTCAAATAAATATTTTGAGAATTAATTAGATGTTAATTTCAGATTTCATGTGCCTCATATCTATTCCACCTGTTCTCACAGTGTCTGCAGACATGGAGCCCTGAGCTGCTCAGGAGGAACCATGCCACCGAGTAGGTTTGATGTGAATTTGGGGTTTAAATGAAGGTTATAAAATCCATAATCTCCAGTTTTGACATCTTCTTCACTTATTAAAACCTTCCAGCTTCCACATCATGTGCTGCCCCCATGATTTATTTGGATTGCTCCACTGCTCAGCCTGGGACCAAAGGGGCTGAGTGCCAGAGGAGCTGCAGCACAGCGGACATGCTTTGTGTAAGTAGAGCTAATTCTTTCAGCTCAAAAAGCATTGGATGTAAATCCACCAGCATTTTTTTTTTACCTGACTCTCCTTCACGCTGGCCACCGACAGATCAGCACAGGCTGTACGTCCGGCTGCGTGTGCCCAGATGGCCTCTTATCAGATGGAGCAGGAGGATGCATCAATGAGACAAACTGTCCATGTGTTCACAACGGACAGGTCTACCAGCCGGGACAGACTCTGACAGTGGACTGTAACACCTGGTATGTAACAGGCGTCTGTGATTGTGGGGCCTGTTCTTTCTCCTTAAATAAGTTTTAAACGATGCTCCATCACCATTTAGAGCTGTCATCAAAGACTCTCATCTGCCTCTGACATGATCAGGTCTTTCCTTTGATTTAATTCAGATTTCTGTTTGTCATCACAGTTCATGTAGTGGAAGAAAGTTCACTTGCACCAACAATGTGTGCAATGCAGTTTGTGGGATCTATGGAGATGGTCATTACATCACATTTGATGATAAAAGGTTTGACTTCAATGGAGAATGTGAATACACGCTCCTCCAGGTAAGGAGCCTTCTATATCTGCGTTACCTGCAACACATACACACAGGCTTTAGGGTCCGGTTCCCTATAAATTGTTGATTGTCGCCCCCTAGTGGTCTTGTGTACTCTTACATGGTACTAGTATTTAGCTTTCTTAACTAGCAGTTGTTTTTGCTACCTGCAGTATTTTTCCTCTGCATGTATTCTGTGGGTTAATGTTAGCATCATTTATGTGTTTGCAATGTGTGTCTCTATTATCTGTGAAAGCAGCATTTTTGTTTTGAACATGCTTTCCTTATTTTATTGTCTCATTTTTGTGTTTGCAATATTCTTTGTATTTGCTGCACATTTCTATAAAGACATTTTTTTATCATATTTTTTTTTATTATTATTATTTTTCTTGCAGTAAAGGTATCTCCTAACCCAACAGAATCATTAAAACCCTTTTGACTGTATCAGTGAAATATTCTTTGTTTTAGTGAAAAGAATCAAACCCAGAGAGGATGCCCTGTGAGTGGATTTGTTTTTCTTCTACCTCAGGATTACTGCAGCCCTGGTCAGGGAAACGGTAGCTTCAGTATCATCACAGAGAATGTTCCATGTGGAAGCACAGGAACCACCTGCTCCAAGAACATCAAGATCTTTCTTGGGGTAAACTCACCACACTGATGCCATCTACACCTGTCATCTGGTTCCACCTGGTGACCAGGAACGGTTTAGAGCAGATGTTTCCAAACTTTTCCCATGCAGTGACCCCCAAACACTGTCAGCCTCCAGCCTGGAGGCTGACAGCTGACACTTTTGCAAAATGACAGTCAGTTCAACAAGAAATGTCAAGGAAAACCACATTTTTAATTTCATTCTATTTTTTTATATTACATTTTCTTTTATGTACAAATATTAACAAAAAATAATATTTCTTACTACTTGTCTTTATTTCTTGGGTTAGCAGCCTGCATATAGTTTCCCACTAATTAGCACACTGGTGGTGACGAACCTTTTCCTCATATTTTCATATGAGCTCATATTTTCCATATTGAGCATCACTTTTAATTAAATCTGGGATTTTAATCACTCCTTGAGTCATGAGCTGTACCATCATAGCATCTAGCAATCTAACAGGGGCTCTACCAACTAGATCAACACTAGAAATCATCTTGCAGCTTTACAAATTGATAATGTGTCATAAAATTAAATCCAGTCTTTAAGATGTTAAGATATAAAATCAATACCATTACTATCCAAATTTATATATATTTTAAGACAGGTTATATAAGTAAAAACATTATAATAATTGAACTTTATTGATCTCACACAAGAATTTTACCTCTGCATTTAACCCATCCCCTAGGGGAGCAGTGGGGTTAAGGGTCTTGCTCAGAGACCCAGAGTGAAGGCTGTGGGGATCGAACCAGGTTCTTGAGTCCTTCTTGGAGCAAAAGCGCACTGCTCTAACCACTAGGCCAGCAATCCCCTAAAAAGGAGTAAATATTGTAAACCGGGTCAACAGTACAAACTTTTCAATTCATTTAATAACTGAATAAAAGGCTTTTAGAGCTTTTAACAGCCACATCAATTTTGTGGAGTAATGCCATAGTGAAATACGGCTGCAATAATTGATAGATGTAGCCGTATGAATGTAGTGTAAAAAAATCATAGACTAGATGAGTAATTTTCTCTTAAAATAAGTGCATTTGTTCTTGGATTGAGGAGATAAAAGAGACATTTGCCAATGGAACAAGACAATTTACATTTAAAATAATAAAACACAATTGCTTTTTCTTATTTCAAGTGCATTTTATGTTAAGAGTAAAAATACTAATTCCATTGCCAGATCACCTCATTTACCTACTTAAATTAAGGGTAAATACACTTTAATTTAAGAAATTTTTACTTATTTCTAGATTGTTTTTCCAGTGTGGCATCTGAAAAGATTATTCGAAAAGTGAAAATTGTTTGAAGAAAGTTAAACCAGATGTAAAAACACTGACAATCTCGCTTTAACATCACTTAGAGAGAAAAGTGATTTTACCAATAACTTTTTGATTATTATTTTTTTATTATATTCTACTAAGAAATGCTGGCGGTTCCTCCACTAGATTTCAAGACACAAATGACTGTGGTTTTATTGAATGTTTATCATTGTTTCTAGATCAGAAACACAAAAGTGTTTGTTATTCCTCCATGTTTCTTCCTAAAGTTTTGATGCGTTTCTAATGGAAATCAATACATTGAAACTGGTTGATGGGTTTCTGTCTCCCATTGTTCCCACATTCCTCCCCCAAATTTTAAATAATATAGAAACGTCAGAATAGGAAATAAAATTAATGCACCATTTATAGTGATTGCAGAATGTTTAACATGTTTTGTTGTTTTTTTGTGTGTTTTTTATCCTTATGTTTAAAGGATAATGAATACCAACTTAAAGATGAAAGTTTCCACGTGGTCAAAGGAAACATCAAAGTTCTCCCTGCTTCAGTTCGGAAAATGGGCCTTTACCTGGTGGTGACCATCCAATCAGGACTTGTTGTCACGTGGGACAAGAAAACCAGCCTTTTCATTTCCCTCAGCCCAGAGTTCCAGGTAAGAACTAGAGTCTGTATGTTGAGATGTTTATTTTTCGGTCGTCACTTTAGATTTGTTACGTGTGGATATTTATAATTAGCCTTTCTTTGGATTTTTTTCTCTTTTAACTAAGTTTTAAAATTTTGTTGGCCTCTTTTCGTTTAATTCCTTCCCTCTAGGGTCAAGTCTGTGGTCTTTGTGGGAACTACGACGGCAACAGTAAAAATGATTTCAAAACACGTTCTCAAGAGACAGTGACGGATGTTTTAGAGTTTGGAAACAGCTGGAAAGTGTCTTCTAGCTGCTCCAATGCGCAGCTTCCCAGTGACCCCTGTGCTTCCAACCGGTACCGAGCAGCCTGGTCCCAGAAACAGTGCAGCATCATAACCAGTGGCCAGTTTAAGAAGTGTCATTCCAAGGTAACACTGAAATGGATCTATGTGGACATGAGTTAAACCCAGTGATGCTACAGATTAAATGTTTTTTCTTCATCTTCATCAATAAATGCATGATCAGCCGTGTCTAGATTATTCCAAAAAACTTAAAAAAACAATCCACTGGACTTTGTTTCCAAGTTTGGAGATGTTTCACTTTCAAAATAGTGTTGAGTTCGAGGCTTTATAGAGTTCACCAACAAAGCCTTGTTGTGGCTTAGAAACCTGCTAATTTAACCAGAAGAATGGGAATGGAGGTCGTCTGGGTTCTTTGTTAACCTGCAATACCGTCTATGTCTCTGAAATGGGGGTAACAAAGTCCAGCAGATTGTTATTTTTAACTTTTTTGGAATGACTATGACCTGGATGACTGAGAATCTTCACCAGCGTGTGTAAATTATATGATACGGATTAGAATGAGACTGACTGCAATTCTCAAATGAACTTTATGTTTAAGGTTGATCCCGGCCCGTACTACGATTCCTGTGTGAGAGACTCTTGTGCTTGTGACACTGGGGGTGACTGTGAGTGTTTCTGCACCGCTGTGGCCGCCTACGCCAAAGCTTGTAATGCAGCTGGGGCCTGCATCAGATGGAGAACGCCCAAGATGTGCCGTAAGTTTGGACATCAACGCTGCTGCAACGCTGCACTGACACTTCTGGAGGCAAAACCAAAAACAACATTTTTTAAATTACTATTAGATTAGTTAAATTTTTTCAAATCACATATTTGATAGTCAATTTGAAATACTTTAACTGACACAATAAATCTTGTAAAGTCGATCAAATACATATTTCAATCTAACTGCATGTTATTATCATTGTAGCTATTTTCTGTGACTACTATAACTCCGATGGTGGCTGTGAATGGCATTACAAGCCCTGTGGAGCAGACTGCATGAAGACATGTAGGAATCCGTCCGGAGACTGTTCCAAGCTCATCAACAATATGGAAGGTAAACATTTATTCAGCATTTAACCTTTTCATAACATGAGGACCCAAATTTGGGTCCTCAGCACTCGCCCCAAGATGGTTTTTAGACCTGTAACATATTCTCTGGGGTCTTGCCTTTATTTTGATACCAAAACAATTAAAATAAACTCTGTAGTTCTTGAGATATATTCAATTCATTTTGGGCATGTTATTTTCAAGCATATTTCTCGAAAACAAGCAACAGAACTAATTTACTTTCTTAAATCGTATTGTTACGTGTTTTAAATAGTCATTTATACTGTATTTTTCTTTCATCAACATTTACTCTTTCATAGTAAATGTTAATTCATTTTCCATAATAACTGATTTTCTCTATAGACCTACACTTATTATGCATTTTTCTGAATTTAATACATTCAAATTATTATTAAATTCAAATTTAATAAATTCAGGGTTTTTTTTCTGTTGTTGTGAGATTTGCTTAACCTGCGTCCTTAGTTTAGCTTCAACGGGCGCAACTGTATTAATTATTTACTGCACTACATTTTAAAGTTGATGACAATAAAATTCTAAATATGAATTGTTTGGAACGTTTACAAGAGAAAGCCTTATCTCTAAAAGGATATGGCATAGTAACTGAGTCTTGCACAAAGTATAGTATAGAAATCAAAACACTTTTAGATCCGTGTTTTTGGCATTCATGACACAAAAGAAGAAATATCTACTGAGACAAAAGAAGAAATATTTACTGAAAGCCAAACCAAGCATGTCAGGCATGAAATCCATTAACTTTTTGCATAAATACAAACACACTCTATAGTCAACTCTATCAGCCATTTCTCTCACAGTTAAAGCTTTATTTAGAGATGAAAGAAATATAAAACACTGGCTAAAAGCTGGGGACACGCACGTGTAATCTGTTTAGAATTCAATGCCATTTCTTCAGTTTGCGAATGTCTTATTAGGGTTGAAACAATTAATCAGATTCATCGTGATTAATTGAGTATTGAAATAATCGTCAACTGATTTAGTAATCGTTTAATTGTTAAGTGGAGAATATAGAGACTCTAAAACATGTCTTTAGCTGACTGAGCGACTCACTTAGAGCAGTAATTATACCACAATTGTGGAAAATAAATTAAAATTTTGCATTTTGGATAGAAAACATTTTCGTCTGTCAATATGCTCCGTCCAGAACTCCACAAGTGGATAATTTTGAGTTTCACCCGGTTTAATTTTGTAAGAAATCTTCTTTAACGCACATTTTGCTATCTGATTATTAATCAAGAGATGAATCGATTTGCAAAACAATTTCAGTTTCAAAAACCAGTTTCAGCTCTCATGGTTATCTGGCATGAGCCTTAGTGCTGACCTCTGCCTTCAGTAAGAAGAAAACAAGTAAAAGTTCAGTTCCCCCCTTAGAGTTCCTTAGAGTTGTTTTTACTGTGGGATCGATTCTGGGACAAAAAAAGCTGTGAGGTAAGAATTAGTAGCCTGGAGACAAAAGGAAATGAGTCAAAATCAGTTAAATCCAAGATGAGTCACTGACTGGCATTTAGCAAAAGAATTAATGACAAATTACTTTACTACTTGACTGTTAAGCTTTGAATGATCTAATGCCACTGGGATGATATTTAGTGAAACAGAGTCTCTAACATTGGGTGATGCATAGAAACATCATTAGGAGAACATCAACTCCTTACTTTTCTATCCATCTCCATTAAATAACATGTTATTTTTGTATTACATAGGCTGTTATCCAAAGTGTCCTCAAATCAAGCCATTCTTTGATGAAGACACCATGAAGTGTGTTGCCTGGGACCAGTGTGGATGCTTTGATGACAAGGGGACCCATTATTGCCTAGGAGAGCAGGTCCCATCCAAACCCTGCTACACATGGTACGTCTCTTATCAAAATCATTATCCTATTCTCTTAAAACCTTAACTGCTGCATCAAAACAGAGCTACTAGCTTTTATGAAATGTGTGCTTTCTAAAACATTTGCATTTCCAAATCATATTAATCTTTATGACATGGTTTGTGTTTGTCATTTCAAGTACCGGTACTTTTTTTTTTTTAAAGATTGATAGTTTACCCCAATTAGTGGGTAGGATTATAACTACATATGCTTTATAAAGACTGTTCTTTCCGGAATAGCTCATTTTAATATTTAACTCAGTTTTACTGTGTTACCCACGAATAGTTTGAAGATTAAAATCTGAGGAAAATGTATGTTTCATTGTATTGTTTGATGATAACTATACAATTAACATAAATGTTCTAATTGTTAAAGCTCCTGTACATTATCTGGGATAATATGCGACTACAGCGTTAATTGTGAGTATAAATCATAACTGATAGGTTTCAGCTTGCCAAGAAAATGTTTACAATGTAAAAGTTTTTTTTTATTTGAGTGGATAACACTATTTCTTTACCCTACAGCTTGTACATGTACAGTTAATGGAAAAATTTACAACTATGGTGATATCATCTACAATACCATAGATGGTCTGGGAAATTGCATTACAGCTGAGTGTGCAGCCAATGGAACAATATCAAGAAGCATGTACCAATGCACCAATACAACAACGGCTATGCCTTCCACATCTCCATTTACATTTAGCACAGCTCAGACCCCCACACCAGGTATAAGACCAAGCTATAGAGTTGTAAAAGTTGGCAATGTGTTATTATTTGTTTTCTTATGTATGCCTGTATGTTTTTAAGCTGCATCAAGTACAAAAGGAGTTACAACACAACCAGGGGAAACAACTGAACAAACAACATATGCTACTACAACAGTAACTGAAACCAAAACTACAGGAAACCAAACCCATAGATCCACAACTGCGTATGTAGAAATGACCTTTCCTGGAAAAACAACAGTGGAGATTGGAACAACAACACCTTCAAAGGTTGGCACAACAGGCCCAGTGACTGGCTCTGTAACAGAAATTTTAGAGACCACAACTACAGTACCAGGAAGCACTACAAGAGGCCAAGAAACACCTGTTACCTCTAAACCTTCTATTGTTACTAAAATCACAACAACACCTTCCGGAACCACTGGGGAAACAACAACTAAAGCTTCTGAAGCAACTACAACTCAAGGTCAAGGAACCAGTGTGGGTACAAGAAAGCCTGTTCAGACTACCACTGGTAAATTAACATTCTCCACCACAGCAGTTTATGAAGCCACAACTTCAGTCCCTGAGGGAACAACAAAACGCAGCGAAAGTACAATTGTATCATCAAAGCCCTCTCTTCTTACAACAACTACAAAAGGCCTGTTCAGCACAACCCAGAGAGCAACAACTGAGTCTGCAGAAACCACCTTTGCAGGAACAACAACAGTGGAGATCGGAACAACAACACCTTCAAAGGTTGGCACAACAGGCCCAGTGACTGGCTCTGTAACAGAACTTGTTGAGACCACAACTGCAGTACCAGGAAGCACGACAAGAGGCCAAGAAACACCTGTTACCTCTAAACCTTCTACTGTTACTAAAATCACACTAACACCTTCCAAAACCACTGGCGAAAAAACAACTAAAGCTTCTGAAGTAACCAGTGTGGGTACAAAACAGCCTGGTGAGGCTACCACTAGTCAATTAACATTCTCTACCACAGCAGTTTATGAAGCCACAACTTCAGTCCCGGAGGGAACAACAAAACGCAGCGAAAGTACAATTGTATCATCAAAGCCCTCTCTTCTTACAACAACTACAAAAGGCCCAATCAGCACGACCCAGAGAGCAACAACTGAGTCTGCAGAAACCACCTTTGCAGGAACAACAACAGTGGAGATTGGAAAAACAACACCTTCAAAGGTTGGCACAACAGGCCCAGTGACTAGCTCTGTAACAGAACTTTTAGAGACCACAACTATAGTACCAGGAAGCACAACAAGAGGCCAAGAAACACCTGTTACCTCTAAACCTTCTATTGTTACTAAAGTCACAAAAACACCTTCCGGAACCACTGGGGAAACAACAACTACAGCTTCTGAAGCAACTACAACTCAAGGTCAAGGAACCAGTGTGGGTACAAGAAAGCCTGTTCAGACTACTACTGGTAAATTAACATTCTCTACCACAGCAGTTTATGAAACCACAACTTCAGTCCCTGAGGGAACAACCAAAGGCAGCGAAAGCACAATTGTATCATCAAAGCCCTCTCTTCTTACAACAACTACAAAAGGCCCAATCAGCACGACCCAGAGAGCAACAACTGAGTCTGCAGAAACCACCTTTGCAGGAACAACAACAGTGGAGATTGGAAAAACAACACCTTCAAAGGTTGGCACAACAGGCCCAGTGACTGGCTCTGTAACAGAACTTTTAGAGACCACAACTATAGTACCAGGAAGCACAACAAGAGGCCAAGAAACACCTGTTACCTCTAAACCTTCTATTGTTACTAAAGTCACAAAAACACCTTCCGGAACCACTGGGGAAACAACAACTACAGCTTCTGAAGCAACTACAACTCAAGGTCAAGGAACCAGTGTGGGTACAAGAAAGCCTGTTCAGACTACTACTGGTAAATTAACATTCTCTACCACAGCAGTTTATGAAACCACAACTTCAGTCCATGAGGGAACAACCAAAGGCAGCGAAAGCACAATTGTATCATCAAAGCCCTCTCTTCTTACAACAACTACAAAAGGCCCAATCAGCACAACCCAGAGAGCAACAACTGAGTCTGCAGAAACCACCTTTGCAGGAACAACAACAGTGGAGATTGGAACAACAACACCTTCAAAGGTTGGCACAACAGGCCCAGTGACTGGCTCTGTAACAGAAATTTTAGAGACCACAACTACAGTACCAGGAAGCACAACAAGAGGCCAAGAAACACCTGTTACCTCTAAACCTTCTATTGTTACTAAAGTCACAAAAACACCTTCCGGAACCACTGGGGAAACAACAACTACAGCTTCTGAAGCAACTACAACTCAAGGTCAAGGAACCAGTGTGGGTACAAGAAAGCCTGTTCAGACTACTACTGGTAAATTAACATTCTCTACCACAGCAGTTTATGAAACCACAACTTCAGTCCCTGAGGGAACAACCAAAGGCAGCGAAAGCACAATTGTATCATCAAAGCCCTCTCTTCTTACAACAACTACAAAAGGCCCAATCAGCACAACCCAGAGAGCAACAACTGAGTCTGCAGAAACCACCTTTGCAGGAACAACAACAGTGGAGATTGGAACAACAACACCTTCAAAGGTTGGCACAACAGGCCCAGTGACTGGCTCTGTAACAGAAATTTTAGAGACCACAACTACAGTACCAGGAAGCACGACAAGAGGCAAAGAAACACCTGTTACCTCTAAACCTTCTATTGTTACTAAAATCACAACAACACCTTCCGGAACCACTGGGGAAACAACAACTAAAGCTTCTGAAGCAACTACAACTCAAGGTCAAGGAACCAGTGTGGGTACAAGAAAGCCTGTTCAGACTACTACTGGTAAATTAACATTCTCTACCACAGCAGTTTATGAAACCACAACTTCAGTCCCTGAGGGAACAACAAAACACGGCGAAAGTACAATTGTATCATCAAAGCCCTCTCTTCCTACAACAACTACAAAAGGCCCGTTCAGCACAACCCAGAGAGCAACAACTGAGTCTGCAGAAACCACCTTTGCAGGAACAACAACAGTGGAGATTGGAACAACAACACCTTCAAAGGTTGGCACAACAGGCCCAGTGACTGGCTCTGTAACAGAACTTGTTGAGACCACAACTGCAGTACCAGGAAGCACGACAAGAGGCCAAGAAACACCTGTTACCTCTAAACCTTCTACTGTTACTAAAATCACACCAACACCTTCCAGAACCACTGGCGAAAAAACAACTAAAGCTTCTGAAGCAACCAGTGTGGGTACAAAACAGCCTGGTGAGGCTATCACTAGTCAATTAACATTCTCTACCTCAGCAGTTTATGAAACCACAACTTCAGTCCCTGAGGGAACAACCAAACGCAGCGAAAGTACAATTGTATCATCAAAGCCCTCTCTTCTTACAACAACTACAAAAGGCCCAATCAGCACAACCCAGAGAGCAACAACTGAGTCTGCAGAAACCACCTTTGCAGGAACAACAACAGTGGAGATCGGAACAACAACACCTTCAAAGGTTGGCACAACAGGCCCAGTGACTGGCTCTGTAACAGAACTTGTTGAGACCACAACTGCAGTACCAGGAAGCACGACAAGAGGCCAAGAAACACCTGTTACCTCTAAACCTTCTACTGTTACTAAAATCACACTAACACCTTCCAAAACCACTGGCGAAAAAACAACTAAAGCTTCTGAAGTAACCAGTGTGGGTACAAAACAGCCTGGTGAGGCTACCACTAGTCAATTAACATTCTCTACCACAGCAGTTTATGAAGCCACAACTTCAGTCCCGGAGGGAACAACAAAACGCAGCGAAAGTACAATTGTATCATCAAAGCCCTCTCTTCCTACAACAACTACAAAAGGCCCGTTCAGCACAACCCAGAGAGCAACAACTGAGTCTGCAGAAACCACCTTTGCAGGAACAACAACAGTGGAGATTGGAACAACAACACCTTCAAAGGTTGGCACAACAGGCCCAGTGACTGGCTCTGTAACAGAACTTGTTGAGACCACAACTGCAGTACCAGGAAGCACGACAAGAGGCCAAGAAACACCTGTTACCTCTAAACCTTCTACTGTTACTAAAATCACACCAACACCTTCCAGAACCACTGGCGAAAAAACAACTAAAGCTTCTGAAGCAACCAGTGTGGGTACAAAACAGCCTGGTGAGGCTATCACTAGTCAATTAACATTCTCTACCTCAGCAGTTTATGAAGCCACAACTTTAGTCCCGGAGGGAACAACAAAACGCAGCGAAAGTACAATTGTATCATCAAAGCCCTCTCTTCTTACAACAACTACAAAAGGCCCAATAAGCTTAACCCAGAGAGCAACAACTGAGTCTGAAGAAACCACCTTTGCAGGAACAACAACAGTGGAGATTGGAACAACAACACCTTCAAAGGTTGGCACAACAGGCCCAGTGACTGGCTCTGTAACAGAACTTGTTGAGACCACAACTGCAGTACCAGGAAGCACGACAAGAGGCCAAGAAACACCTGTTACCTCTAAACCTTCTACTGTTACTAAAATCACACCAACACCTTCCAGAACCACTGGCGAAAAAACAACTAAAGCTTCTGAAGCAACCAGTGTGGGTACAAAACAGCCTGGTGAGGCTACCACTAGTCAATTAACATTCTCTACCACAGCAGTTTATGAAGCCACAACTTTAGTCCCGGAGGGAACAACAAAACGCAGCGAAAGTACAATTGTATCATCAAAGCCCTCTCTTCTTACAACAACTACAAAAGGCCCAATAAGCTTAACCCAGAGAGCAACAACTGAGTCTGAAGAAACCACCTTTGCAGGAACAACAACAGTGGAGATTGGAACAACAACACCTTCAAAGGTTGGCACAACAGGCCCAGTGACTGGCTCTGTAACAGAACTTGTTGAGACCACAACTGCAGTACCAGGAAGCACGACAAGAGGCCAAGAAACACCTGTTACCTCTAAACCTTCTACTGTTACTAAAATCACACCAACACCTTCCAGAACCACTGGCGAAAAAACAACTAAAGCTTCTGAAGCAACCAGTGTGGGTACAAAACAGCCTGGTGAGGCTACCACTAGTCAATTAACATTCTCTACCACAGCAGTTTATGAAACCACAACTTCAGTCCCTGAGGGAACAACAAAACGCAGCGAAAGTACAATTGTATCATCAAAGCCCTCTCTTCTTACAACAACTACAAAAGGCCCAATAAGCTTAACCCAGAGAGCAACAACTGAGTCTGAAGAAACCACCTTTGCAGGAACAACAACAGTGGAGATTGGAACAACAACACCTTCAAAGGTTGGCACAACAGGCCCAGTGACTGGCTCTGTAACAGAACTTGTTGAGACCACAACTGCAGTACCAGGAAGCACGACAAGAGGCCAAGAAACACCTGTTACCTCTAAACCTTCTACTGTTACTAAAATCACACCAACACCTTCCAGAACCACTGGCGAAACAACAACTAAAGCTTCTGAAGCAACCAGTGTGGGTACAAAACAGCCTGGTGAGGCTACCACTAGTCAATTAACATTCTCTACCACAGCAGTTTATGAAACCACAACTTCAGTCCCTGAGGGAACAACAAAACGCAGCGAAAGTACAATTGTATCATCAAAGCCCTCTCTTCTTACAACAACTACAAAAGGCCCGTTCAGCACAACCCAGAGAGCAACAACAGAGTCTGCAGAAACCACCTTTGCAGGAACAACAACAGTGGAGATTGGAACAACAACACCTTCAAAGGTTGGCACAACAGGCCCAGTGACTGGCTCTGTAACAGAACTTGTTGAGACCACAACTGCAGTACCAGGAAGCACGACAAGAGGCCAAGAAACACCTGTTACCTCTAAACCTTCTACTGTTACTAAAATCACACCAACACCTTCCAGAACCACTGGCGAAAAAACAACTAAACCTTCTGAAGCAACCAGTGTGGGTACAAAACAGCCTGGTGAGGCTACCACTAGTCAATTAACATTCTCTACCACAGCAGTTTATGAAGCCACAACTTTAGTCCCGGAGGGAACAACAAAACGCAGCGAAAGTACAATTGTATCATCAAAGCCCTCTCTTCTTACAACAACTACAAAAGGCCCAATAAGCTTAACCCAGAGAGCAACAACTGAGTCTGAAGAAACCACCTTTGCAGGAACAACAACAGTGGAGATTGGAACAACAACACCTTCAAAGGTTGGCACAACAGGCCCAGTGACTGGCTCTGTAACAGAACTTTTAGAGACCACAACTATAGTACCAGGAAGCACGACAAGAGGCCAAGAAACACCTGTTACCTCTAAACCTTCTATTGTTACTAAAATCACAAAAACACCTTCCGGAACCACTGGGGAAACAACAACTAAAGCTTCTGAAGCAACTACAACTCAAGGTCAAGGAACCAGTGTGGGTACAAGAAAGCCTGTTCAGACTACTACTGGTAAATTAACATTCTCTACCACAGCAGTTTATGAAGCCACAACTTCAGTCCCTGAGGGAACAACCAAAGGCAGCAAAAGCACAATTGTATCATCAAAGCCCTCTCTTCTTACAACAACTACAAAAGGCCCAATAAGCTTAACCCAGAGAGCAACAACTGAGTCTGAAGAAACCACCTTTGCAGGAACAACAACAGTGGAGATTGGAACAACAACACCTTCAAAGGTTGGCACAACAGGCCCAGTGACTGGCTCTGTAACAGAACTTTTAGAGACCAAAACTATAGTACCAGGAAGCACGACAAGAGGCCAAGAAACACCTGTTACCTCTAAACCTTCTACTGTTACTAAAATCACACCAACACCTTCCAGAACCACTGGCGAAAAAACAACTAAAGCTTCTGAAGTAACCAGTGTGGGTACAAAACAGCCTGGTGAGGCTACCACTAGTCAATTAACATTCTCTACCACAGCAGTTTATGAAGCCACAACTTCAGTCCCGGAGGGAACAACAAAACTTAGCGAAAGTACAATTTTATCATCAAAGCCCTCTCTTCTTACAACAACTACAAAAGGCCCAATCAGCACGACCCAGAGAGCAACAACTGAGTCTGCAGAAACCAACTTTGCAGGAACAACAACAGTGGAGATTGGAACAACAACACCTTCAAAGGTTGGCACAACAGGCCCAGTGACTGGCTCTGTAACAGAACTTTTAGAGAGCACAACTATAGTACCAGGAAGCACGACAAGAGGCCAAGAAACACCTGTTACCTCTAAACCTTCTATTGTTACTAAAATCACAAAAACACCTTCCGGAACCACTGGGGAAACAACAACTAAAGCTTCTGAAGCAACTACAACTCAAGGTCAAGGAACCAGTGTGGGTACAAGAAAGCCTGTTCAGACTACTACTGGTAAATTAACATTCTCTACCACAGCAGTTTATGAAGCCACAACTTCAGTCCCTGAGGGAACAACCAAAGGCAGCGAAAGCACAATTGTATCATCAAAGCCCTCTCTTCTTACAACAACTACAAAAGGCCCAATCAGCACGACCCAGAGAGCAACAACTGAATCTGCAGAAACCACCTTTGCAGGAACAACAACAGTGGAGATTGGAACAACAACACCTTCAAAGGTTGGCACAACAGGCCCAGTGACTGGCTCTGTAACAGAACTTGTTGAGACCACAACTGCAGTACCAGGAAGCACGACAAGAGGCCAAGAAACACCTGTTACCTCTAAACCTTCTATTGTTACTAAAATCACAACAACACCTTCCGGAACCACTGGGGAAACAACAACTAAAGCTTCTGAAGCAACTACAACTCAAGGTCAAGGAACCAGTGTGGGTACAAGAAAGCCTGTTGAGACTACTACTGGTAAATTAACATTCTCCACCACAGCAGTTTATGAAGCCACAACTTCAGTCCCTGAGAGAACAACAAAACGCAGCGAAAGTACAATTGTATCATCAAAGCCCTCTCTTCTTACAACAACTACAAAAGGCCCGTTCAGCACAACCCAGAGAGCAACAACAGAGTCTGCAGAAACCACCTTTGCAGGAACAACAACAGTGGAGATTGGAACAACAACACCTTCAAAGGTTGGCATAACAGGCCCAGTGACTGGCTCTGTAACAGAAATTTTAGAGACCACAACTACAGTACCAGGAAGCACGACAAGAGGCCAAGAAACACCTGTTACCTCTAAACATTCTATTGTTACTAAAATCACAACAACACCTTCCGGAACCACTGGGGAAACAACAACTAAAGCTTCTGAAGCAACTACAACTCAAGGTCAAGGAACCAGTGTGGGTACAAGAAAGCCTGTTCAGACTACTACTGGTAAATTAACATTCTCCACCACAGCAGTTTATGAAGCCACAACTTCAGTCCCTGAGGGAACAACAAAACGCAGCGAAAGTACAATTGTATCATCAAAGCCCTCTCTTCTTACAACAACTACAAAAGGCCCGTTCAGCACAACCCAGAGAGCAACAACAGAGTCTGCAGAAACCACCTTTGCAGGAACAACAACAGTGGAGATTGGAACAACAACACCTTCAAAGGTTGGCACAACAGGCCCAGTGACTGGCTCTGTAACAGAACTTGTTGAGACTACAACTGCAGTACCAGGAAGCACGACAAGAGGCCAAGAAACACCTGTTACCTCTAAACCTTCTACTGTTACTAAAATCACACCAACACCTTCCAGAACCACTGGCGAAAAAACAACTAAAGCTTCTGAAGTAACCAGTGTGGGTACAAAACAGCCTGTTGAGGCTACCACTAGTCAATTAACATTCTCTACCACAGCAGTTTATGAAGCCACAACTTCAGTCCTGGAGGGAACAACAAAACGCAGCGAAAGTACAATTGTATCATCAAAGCCCTCTCTTCTTACAACAACTACAAAAGGCCCGTTCAGCACAACCCAGAGAGCAACAACTCAGTCTGCAGGAACCCCCTTTGCAGGAACAACAACAGTGGAGATTGGAACAACAACACCTTCAAAGGTTGGCACAACACGCCCAGTGACTGGCTCTGTAACAGAACTTTTAGAGACCACAACTATAGTACCAGGAAGCACGACAAGAGGCCAAGAAACACCTGTTACCTCTAAACCTTCTATTGTTACTAAAATCACAAAAACACCTTCCGGAACCACTGGGGAAACAATAACTAAAGCTTCTGAAGCAACTACAACTCAAGGTCAAGGAACCAGTGTGGGTACAAGAAAGCCTGTTGAGACTACTACTGGTAAATTAACATTCTCCACCACAGCAGTTTATGAAGCCACAACTTCAGTCCCTGAGGGAACAACAAAACGCAGCGAAAGTACAATTGTATCATCAAAGCCCTCTCTTCTTACAACAACTACAAAAGGCCCGTTCAGCACAACCCAGAGAGCAACAACAGAGTCTGCAGAAACCACCTTTGCAGGAACAACAACAGTGGAGATTGGAACAACAACACCTTCAAAGGTTGGCACAACAGGCCCAGTGACTGGCTCTGTAACAGAACTTGTTGAGACCACAACTGCAGTACCAGGAAGCACGACAAGAGGCCAAGAAACGACTGTTACCTCTAAACCTTCTATTGTTACTAAAATCACAACAACACCTTCTGGAACCACTGGGGAAACAACAACTAAAGCTTCTGAAGCAATTACAACTCAAGGTCAAGGAACCAGTGTGGGTACAAGAAAGCCTGTTCAGACTACTACTGGTAAATTAACATTATCTACCACAGCAGTTTATGAAGCCACAACTTCAGTCCCTGAGGGAACAACCAAACGCAGTGAAAGCACAATTGTATCATCAAAGCCCTCTCTGCGTACAACAACTACAAAAGGCCCGTTCAGCACAACCCAGAGAGCAACAACTGAGTCTGCAGAAACCACCTTTGCAGGAACAACAACAGTGGAGATTGGAACAACAACACCTTCAAAGGTTGGCACAACAGGCCCAGTGACTAGCTCTGTAACAGAACTTTTAGAGACCACAACTACAGTACAGGGAAGCACGACAAGAGGCCAAGAAACGACTGTTACCTCTAAACCTTCTATTGTTACTAAAATCACAACAACACCTTCCGGAACCACTGGGGAAACAACAACTAAAGCTTCTGAAGCAACTACAACTCAAGGTCAAGGAACCAGTGTGGGTACAAGAAAGCCTGTTCAGACTACTACTGGTAAATTAACATTCTCTACCACAGCTGTTTATGAAACCACAACTTCAGTCCCTGAGGGAACAACCAAACGCAGCGAAAGTACAATTGTATCATCAAAGCCCTCTCTTCTTACAACAACTACAAAAGGCCCAATCAGCACAACCCAGAGAGCAACAACTGAGTCTGCAGAAACCACCTTTGCAGGAACAACAACAGTGGAGACTGGAACAACAACACCTTCAAAGGTTGGCACAACAGGCCCAGTGACTGGCTCTGTAACAGAAATTTTAGAGACCACAACTACAGTACAGGGTAGCACGACAAGAGGCCAAGAAACACCTGTTACCTCTAAACCTCCTACTGTTACTAAAATCACACCAACACCTTCCAGAACCACTGGCGAAAAAACAACTAAAGCTTCTGAAGTAACCAGTGTGGGTACAAAACAGCCTGGTGAGGCTACCACTAGTCAATTAACATTCTCTACCACAGCAGTTTATGAAGCCACAACTTCAGTCCCTGAGGGAACAACAAAACGCAGCGAAAGTACAATTGTATCATCAAAGCCCTCTCTTCTTACAACAACTACAAAAGGCCAGTTCAGCACAACCCAGAGAGTAACAACTGAATCTGCAGAAACAACTTTTACAAGTACCACATTAGGTGTTATAACGGGACAGTTACACTCAACAAGAGGAGTTACTGATGCTTTGGTGAAAAACACAACAACCATAACCACACAAAACCATTTAATAGGCACAACCATTATCGCACCGTTAACAAAGACACTTCCTGGAACTGTAACAGTTTACCAAACTAGATCCACTATCCAGACAACCACAGCAAGGGTCCATTTATCTTCACCACATTCGACAGCATCGTGCATGTGTATTGTTAACGGAACATCTCATCAACCCGGTAAGTCTTTTCTGTTTTAATAATGTTTGATGTGTATGTATATATATATATACATTTTATGTTCATTTTCTGTTATGCTGCATCACTCTAGATGTTTTGTGATTGTTTATTTCGAAAAAAGTCGTTTTGATGAATTGTTTCCCAAATATTCCTCTCAAATTGCCATTTTTTAAGTATTTTTAATACTTTTTAAAAAACTTTGTTATCAGCATGTAATTTAGCAATTTCCATTGCATGTGCTCAACCTTTCTCCGTAATCTGTTTTACACAGGGGACCTGTTATACAATGTTTCTGATGGCCTTGGGTGGTGCTACAGTGCATATTGCAATGCCTCTTGTAAAGTTGAAACACAATCCACCCCTTGTCCAACATATATACCTAGCACTACTGCACATTCCTCTTCTTCACTGTTCAGCACAACGAATGCCCCTATTACAAGCTCAGTACCCCTGTCCACAACCAGAGCAGCATCTACAGCTATCCAAGTCTGCTATGATGGAAATGTACCCAAACAGGTAAGGCATCAATATATCTTCCATATAGATAAGTGGTTTATCAATAATTGGCTCCAAAATGATCTAACAGTCAGAACCCATAAAGGAAATAGTACAACCATACAAAAACATCCAGATCTTAATCAATTGGGTTAGGAAGACTGTATTGTATGAAGTTTTGTATGAAGCATACATAGATGTCTGAAAATGGTAAACAACTACCGCCCTAAAAATATAACTTTTTTTAACCACTGATTTTAGACTACTTAGTTTTCATGAAAATTATACAACACAAGTAAATTAAGCTCTACAACAGCTCTGAAGTCAGCAGGTCCTAAATACAATTGTTTGTTAAACGTGTAGAGGTAATCTTTTCTAGTGAAGCCACTGTTACATTTATTACACTCTTATGCATTTTTTGATTTATTTACATAGCAGAAAAAAATTGCCTCATTTTTTATTTTTTTTAATCTCACCAAAAAAGAAAATTATGTCAAACAGTGCAAACACTTTTGAAAACCAAATAAATATCTCAGATTCTAGAAACCAGTATATTGACTGTAACTGTAGAAAATTAGGGCTAAACCATTTGAAGCCCATTTTCTCCCACAAGCATTTTAACCACATTTTGTTCGATGCGGCTATCATTTACCAAAACTGTGCCAGATGTATTTTGTACCTCATAAAGGGGAATCTGGTCAAATTAAATCATAAATGCTTTATTTAAAAAGTAGTGCTTTGCACATACGAGAAATTAGTTTGGTGATGAGGTTGTACTTTAGATAAGAAAACACAGAGTTGACATAAATTCAGGAATATAAAGACTTGGATTAAACAAATGTCAGCTATATATGAACAGCATGGCATGCAACAGCATTATAGCAACAGCATAAAATTAGATCAGACAAGTGCCGATATCAGTTGTAGGACTTCTGCATCAATAATGGTATTTAGTCTGTTTATCATCAAAATCCACTGCTGTACACAGCATTATGTCGATTGAAGTTCTGTAACCTAAGAAGAATATTACTGTCTTGAAAAAGGTGTTACAAAGGTGTTACTATAAATCCTTGGAAAGTCGGATTTCTCTATATTTCTCTATATCAAACATTATGGATTTCAACAAGATGATGGGTGTCATCTGTAGAGCTTTTTTAAGACTCAAAATATGTATAGGAGCTGTAAATGTGCAAAGGTGGTGCTCTAAAAATGTATGCATCTTTCGACAATTCCTCTTTTGAGGATTAAAAGCTCAATGGAATTAAGAAAAGTCTGTTTTTTTAAGTTTAATAGCATAGTTTAAACACCTGCCTTGGCTGGGCTCACCTGTAAGCCTAAGCTATGTTTTAATGAATTTTTATTGCATATTGTTCTTATCAAGAAATACTAAATATTACTAATTAATAGCTACTCCAAATATAGTGGCACTATACTTCAAATTGGGAACAGGATTATGTTATTTCCAGACCCAGACATTCCTGTCACTTGGTTCACTTCCCTCCAGTGATAAATGGTAACCAACCATTAGGTCATTTTTAACATCTCCTTCCCATACAGAACGGAGAATCCTGGGTGACTAAGAACTGCATGACAGCTACTTGCACAGAAGGCGAGATAACAGTCACACCTGTGGTCTGTCCAAACGTAACACAACCCATCTGCACCAATGGGAGGAAACCTGTCAAGATCTATGAACAGAATGGATGTTGCTTTCATGAAGAGTGTGAATGTAAGTTCAGTGTTTAATCATCCACGATGTCAATAACATTTTTGCCGTTACTCAATTCACTAGAACGCGAGTACGGACTCGTGTCCTCGCCAAGTATGTTCTTGAGAAGAACACAGGAAAGTCTGGACTCTGGGACAATGGGAGCTTGCAGAATAAATCTGGGTCAATTGAAACAGAAACATACTCCTGACATCACCACACACTCGGCTCGTCTGGAGCTGCATTTCATCTCCTGTTATTAATAGTCTCTAGATAATAATAAATTCAGACTTTTTACATTTAGAGGGGGAATATTAATGAACACAGTCAGATAAACAGAAATCAAATGAATATTTTGCCAAATAAAACAAAAAAAATCGACATCATAACCAGCGGTCCTTCACACACAGCTATGCAGAGTGAGGGCTGCTGCAGACGGGTTAACTTTAGAACTGGCTGCCGTTATCCTCAGAGCTCCCTTGTTGCGGCGGTCCTCTCAGCTTTCGAACATTTTTTTTAAATTACACATTAAATCAGTAAGTTGGATATATAGTGACGCTTAAAAGTATAATGATCAAATGATCTTAAAACGTACTTTTGTTGAACAATGGCAACTTTTAACTTAATACTCTGAGCTCTGTGAGCGCTCCATTGAAAGCTGCTGCTGCCGCAGTGCATGCTGGGACAGCTGTCAATCTCAAGAACGGACAATTCTGTTCTGATGCATGCTGGGAAAAGGCGAGGGAGGGGCGAGAACAACATCTGGGGACTTTGTCCGTTCTCGGTCTTCTGTTCTTGTGAATTGGAACAATGCTAGGGCTGAGAATGATGCATTTCATGAACACATGAGAACGCACAAGTTCACATATTGAGAAACAACCTTTGTCTGACTAGTGTGGGGATTTCTTTCTTTGCATGTAGTGTTCAGAAGCAGTACACATGTACCTTTGATCCTAACTTTGAGTAGAAACACCTGAACACGTCAGATTCCTCCATACTCTTGCTCCATGACATGCCTCCTCTTCCTGCAGGTGTTTGCAGTGTCCTGAGTGGATCCTACTACACTACTTTTGACGGCCAAATGTACAATTCCCAACAGAACTGCTCCTGTTACTTGGTTAAGGAGATTATTTCTAAATATAACCTGACCATCACAAGAAGCAATGAGTGTGATCCTACAGACACCACATTCTGCCCTCTGACTCTCACCATCACCTACCAGTCATTGGTGATAGTTTTGACTCAGATTAAGAGTTCAGGAACACCAACAAATGTGGTAAGTAGCAGTTTAATCTCAACGAGTCCAATTAAAAATTTTCTGTGAATTTCACAGCCGTTCTAAATGTGTTTTTCTTTGGGTTCTCCAGGTCTATGTAGACCAGAAACGCATATATCCAGCCTATAGCAATTCTGTCCTGCTCCTGTTTGGCACAGATATGGAGATCAGTGCAGAGATACCAAAGATCAACACAAAAATCATTTTTAGGGGCTCCTCCTTCAGCATCGACCTTCCCTATTCACTGTTTGAAGGAAACACTGAGGGACAGTGTGGTAAGATATCAGTCTGTTTAGTTTATCATTTTACAGTCATAGTATGAGTTAAAAGGCATTAGATTAGAGTGGAAAATGATCATGTCTTGTAAACTTAAACTTATAGGATTTGATTACAGTTATTTAGTTTAACAGCTATTCAGAATGATCCAAAGATCAGGGATTCTCCAAGTGTACGATGATCCAGTTTAGCAGTGATTTCATATATACAGCCTTTGCATGCTGGTGTTACGCCATATTTTGCGAGCAATCATATATTGTGACTAAAGGGGGCGCTACATGTATTTCACTTTAAATTTCTTTAGGTTTAGGAATTGATTTATTTATTTTAGGGTTTTATGCAGGTGAGGATTCTCAGTCACCCAAGTCCCAGTCATTCCAAAAAAGTAAAAAAAAACATTCCACTGGACTTTGTGTTCAAGTTTTAAGACATTTCGCTTCCAATCCAGGAAGATTTTTGAATTCAGAATGTAAAAATTTGAATTTTTTGACTGTGTTTAAGTTTTTAATTGAGGACCAAGTTCTTTCAGTGGGGAATGATGAAAAGCAGCTGTGCTCTGCCTCTAAACGCTGCCTGTTTCTGTAGGCACTTGTGACAACTCCCCGGCCAATGACTGCCGTTCTCCAAACGGACACATTGAAAGCTGCTCAGAAACTGCAAGACTGTGGACTATCCCCGGAGCGTCCTGTCCCACTCCCAGCCCCACCTCACCTGTTACCACAGCAACACCTGTAACTTCATCACAGGGGCCATTCCCAACCACACAACCCGCCTGCAAACCTGCCATCTGTGAGCTGCTTAGGAGCAGGTTAGGAAAGCTGCAACCCAGAAAAATGTCTTTTCCTTATGGAGGGGATTTAGATTTGTCATTTGTATAAACAGTGTATACAAAACAAAATTTCATTTCGTACAGCTTTCATGACATTTGCATTTCTTAAAGTGCAGCATTGATCAAAAAACAGTGTAGGAGAAAAAATGTTGTTCCATCATTGTCACAAGGAAAGTGTTTTTTATTTTAAACCTGAAAATAGTAAAATCCAGAAATAAAACTTTGAAAAATATTTTAATTTAAAAAAAGAGTTTGAAAATACATTTTCTGTTTTAACAGATTTTTTTTTATTGATTTTTTTTTTTATATTCTATTTTGTCAAATGTTATCTTTAATTTTTTTTTACAGGTTCTATATTTTGAGATATTTTTCAAATTTCTATTTTTACAGATTTTAAACAAATTGTTGTTTTTCAGATTATTTTCATGAATCCCATCGTCTTCCTTTCTAGAGACAGGCTTTTTCTATTGGTCTTTACGGACATTAGTTACAATGTTTCTATTGGTTATCGGTGCGTTTGTGTTGGGCTAGAAGTGAAGGAAAAGTGAAATCCTAATCCAAAAAAAACCAAAATCTGTAAAAGAAATTATATAAAAAAAAAAATAAGAATTACAAAAATTTGAGAAAGCAGCTAAGTTACCTTTAAATCCTTGTTTTGCTTTAAAATGTTTATAAAGATTTCAAATCTGGATTACATTTTCTTTGCGGATTTCCATTAGAAACCATGTTCTTTGCTTTCAGTAACAATAAAATAATAAAATTCCTCCACACCTTACATATATTTTTATTACAAGTGATATCGTCATGCTTTAGCATTATGTGAAGTTTTATGCATTAAGTTGTCTTGTCAGATTCTTCCTCTTTTCCACATTTATCATCTTATTAACGTATTTTGAAGTGCAGGTTTTTAGAATCTCTACCTCAGACTGGTTCCTCTGTTCTTCTAACATGCATCCATTTTCCCCTTTAGCCTTTTTGCACCGTGCCACACCTTAATTTCCCCTGAATCATACGTGAAAACCTGCACCTATGAAATCTGCAACGGTGGAAACGACACCTGCTCCAGCCTGGAGGCGTATGCTGCTGAGTGTTCCAGCGTTGGTGTTTGTATCGACTGGAGGAATTCCACCGGTGGACTGTGTGGTGAGGCCTTCGGTTCTCAGTGGGTCTCATCGGTGGGAAATCTGCAAAATCTTCAAATTAACATCACTCTCTCTTTTAGAGCATAGATGTCCGAGCAACAAAATCTACATGGCATGTGGCCCGTCAGTAGAGCCCACATGCAATGACAGGTACAGCCAACATTTATTCCCATTGCTGCATATTTATCGTTTATTTTTAGTTTGCTAATTGTAGTTTAGGCTGCTCAGTGGGGCACAGGGTAGCACTGCCGCCCTGCAGCAAGAAGGTTCTGGGTTTGTTTTTATCGACTAACATTTAAAAATTCATGCATCTCAAAAAACAAAATGCATCTCAGTTTTTATATGCAATTACCTCATCCTCTTGTTACACCTCAAAGAAACTGACTTCACTCAGTTTTATTAAGGGACAGACGAGTAACATGGGCAGAACCTGTTTTTCTTATTTTACCTGGTAAAACATTCTACATTGATTTCCCCATTTTCCTTCATATTCCATCATTTTGCTCTGTTTGCGGATCGACTAATGAATCCAAATTAAGTTCCTTAAGTCAGTTTTTACAAACTGAGATGCCAAAAAAGAGATGTGAATATTTCATATGAAGCGAAGAGTAAGACAGAGATTATGTTCAATTCCTGAAATAGTTAACGGAAATATAGAAAGTAATCACACCCCTTTAATAACCTTACTTTGAATTTATCCCTCAGATACAACAGGAAGTTTCAGGCAGATGCGACATCAGCTGCTAACGTCACCAAGGAAGGCTGCTTCTGTCCGCCGGGCACCACGCGGTTCAACTCTGTGTATGACACATGTGTCACTTCCTGCGGTGAGAAAATACTTCAGTGCTCTCAGGGAATGAAAACATGACAGGAGAGACTGTTCTCCTTATGTCTGTTTGAAGAGTTTAAGCTATATTTAACTCAAACTTCATCCTCTCTGTTTACTTCTCTGTGTTTTCCTCTCAGACTGTGTTGGACCAGATGGAAAACCCAAACAGGTGAAAAGCTTGGTGCATGTCTCAGTGTGTACCAATAAATGCATATCTGAGGGTCTAAAAAGGCTCATTTTCCTCCCATCAGCCTGGTGATACATGGACAAGTGAATGCAACACTTGCGAGTGTGACGGCGATTCGATGAGTGTCCGCTGCGAGCCTGTGAAGTGCCCTGAGGTCCAGAGCCCCAACTGCAGCGAGCCCGGCCAGCAGCTGATCAACAAAACAGAAGGCTGCTGCACAACACAGAGCTGTGGTCAGTGTCTGTGCCGGATAGAACATCCCTCAACCCCACAGGCATGATTCTGTGCTGAGGAGGGAATAAATGCGTAAAAATACACAATTTTACAATAACTTTAAAAGGTCCTGGAAACTTAGAAATGAGACCAACACACAAACAGGAAAAAACATGCAAAAGAAATGCAGCAAAGGAGAAAAGTTTTAACTTAGGAAAGTCTGTTATAACAGGCTGATGACATGAAACTCCTGAGAAATGTAGAGTCTAAATTAAGTTCAGCTAGAAGCTGGCTAGCTCAATTGGTAAGTCACCCGTCCTGCAAGCCTGGGTTCATATCCCAGGGGGGTGGGATGAGCTGCCAGTGTTGGTACTTAGGCAGGACCCTTCACACTAATGCCTGCTTTGGGGGAATTGTTGGGCATTAAGCTTGGAATCCTGAGGTTCTGAGTTCAAGCCCCACTCCCACAGACTGCCACTCTGGCTCCCTAAGCAAATTCTCTTAACCCCAAACTGCTCCTCAGGCGCCACACAATGGCAGCCCACTGCTTCCCAAGAGGACAGGTTAAATGCAGAGAGTTAATTTATTTGCTCTGTGCTTGTGACAGTGTAACGACAGCAAAGCAAAAATTATTAATAACAGATTCACGTTTGAATTATTTTTTTAATTTTACCTAATTTCCTCTAATTAGAGAAACTGTGAGTCTGGATTGTAATATGAAAGACAGAACTAAAGATTAGGGTGATGGCATGGATGCTTCAAAGGCAACCCAGAAAAACCAGTGGACATTTGGAAAAACATAAAATGCAGATTTTAAAATGTGGGCAGGGATGTGGTTTCAGCTTTCTAGTATCTGTAACTCATTCCAGAGCAGTGACTCTGGTTCTCTGATTAGGGATCAAACTACCAGGTCCACAACCCACGTCTGAATGGGTTTTTTATCTGCATCTGACTGGGGTTTCTCAGCAGTGAGCCCCAAGAACTGAGATTTCATAGAAACTGATTGAAAGTCTGGTGCCTTTGATTTTTGACTGTTGTGGTCATGAAACATTATGTTCACAGGTTTCAGGTAACTTATTTTGTATCCAACAGAATGTAACTTGAACCTGTGTGCTGCTCCTCCCTCCTGCTCACTGGGCTTCCAGCTGAACGTTGCCAACGGGACCTGCTGCCAGTCCTACGAGTGTGGTGAGCGACTCTAACCTCCTAGCTACTCTAGTCCCTCTAAAATCTGCCGCAGGATGGTTAAAACGCAACAAAAAGCTCAGACATGATGAAAAGACATGTATATATTTTATGTCTTCTGGTTTAATTCAGAATTATTGAGTTTTGCTGTTAATTTTCTACATTTCGTGTAAGATTTATAGCAGATACCTACAAAGAACATACAGGAACATCGAACATTAATAATTACACTTATATACAACATCGAAGGGCTTTACAGAATATTGATTCCCCGATACCTGGCTGTGCAGTATCGGCCAATACCAATACCATACCGATTGATGTGTTTGTGCATATATGAAGAACTTTATACAAGTTGGATGTAAAATAATTGCCATTATGGCTTTATCACGCTGCTGCCTACCTTTGTGAAGCAAAAAAAAAAGACTAATACAAAGTGAATCCATTTGAACTTTTTATTGCCTACCTGGAATGGGTGACAATAGGTGAATAAACTTTTGGCTCTCAAAATGGTATCGATTCCCTATTTGTTGGTACTTGCCGATACCAATACCACAATTTTAGCGCTGGAACGGGGCCCTTCAAAAACATTTTTTCATAAGAACCAAAACAACAATCAGTGAAAGGAGGTTAAAAGTCATTTTGCGGTAAAATAATTTTTACGCTCAATTTATTCAATGTAAGTTAAAGCACAGTTTGGGATATTAGAACTGGATCCTTCTATCACCTAAACACGATGACTGGAAACATCATTTATAACCAGACTCGTATGTTTTTTTTGTCTGCAGTTCCTAAAGGTGTGTGTGTCTACGACATGACTGAGTTCAAGGTGAGGACATCCAAAGAGATGCATGAATAAGAACAATTATGTCAATTTGTTCAGTCGGTTCTGACTTTCGTGTTTATTTTTCTCTGATAAAACTGAATCTATTCAAGCCATAATTACCCATTTGTTTTGTATCATCTTTGTATGAAATCCTTATAGAAATACACACTTCGTTGCATTTAAGCTCTAAGTTTTCATGTTTTTTTTAGTATATAATAATAGTATAATAATACTTTATTAACACTAAAAGATTCAGCGTAATCATCACAGCGATTGGTGGATGTAAAGGTTGCAGCTTTGAAACTCAGTCTATTAATGTCCCTGAATCCAGAATCGGATAAAAATGCAGATGAAAAATTTCCCCTGAAAGGTACAGTTAGGTCTAAATAAAAAGTTAGATTCTCAAGAAATTTTTGAAAATCCATCTTAAGTTTGGGACTTAAAAGAAAATATCCTAAATTGTGAATTTTAAAGAAATTTGTTGCCTTAAAATCTTGATTTCTGACAAATTTTCTTTCTTTTCTTTTTTTTTTATTATATAAATCGACCCTGAACCTAACTAGAACACTGCAGAGTTTGATGCTGTGGAAAAGCTAACAGGATTTATGTGGTTTTACAGCCTGGTGCAAAGATACCGACACCTCAGCAAGCATCAGAAGCTCCACTGGAAGAACCATCAGTAGCCAGAACCTCTTCAGAAACAGTCCTGAATGGCTCTGATACTCCTGCACCCTGCCAGGAGTGTTACTGTGGTCCCAAAACAGATCCCACCACCAAGCTCCATATCATCACATGCACACCGGTGCTCTGCAACACCAGCTGCTCTCAAGTAAGATGACTCAGCAGAAGTCACTGTTTCACACAGTGGCAGAAATGACCTCGACAGTTTGGCTCATAAACCCAATAAAGATGGAGGAGAAAACTTCCTGAGGCTGCATCACAGGACAGGGAGGAGCTGCTGCTCACAACAACACAGAGATGCAAGAATCAAGCTCAATACTACTTAATACGATTTAGATACCATAATTAGAAGCTTAATAAAGTTGGTTTCACAGGATATATACCTTTTAAACCTACCTGGTCTTATAAAGGTAGTTTGATATAAGTTGGATCAGAGACCATAACACCATCCTCCTACTTCTGTCTGCAGGGATTTGAATATGAGACCAAGGCAGACGCCTGCTGCGGGACATGTGTCCAGAAGAGCTGTATTTTTACGTACGACCAGAATGTACATGTTATTGAGGTCAGTTCATCAAATGTGTTGTTTTTTAAATTTTACATATGGAGTGAGGTCTGTGCCGATATTGTTGCAAAAGCAAAGCAGCCTTTTTAGATTAGAATTTTACATAAGATTAGACAGATTTATTTTGTCATTTCATGAGTGTATTCAAAAAGAAATTTAGTTTTAAACAGCACTAGACAATTTCATTTTTCTGAAGTGCAGCCTTGAAAACAGTAATAAATATAAAATAGTAATATAAACATATGACTGTATATTTACAGTTCTAACATATTTTTTATGTGAATAAAATAACAAATTTTACACAACAAAAATTAAATGAAATGTAATTAATTGTTGTGTAATTGAATCAAATGGTATTTGTCTAGAAATGCAATCTGGTGATTAAATTTTGAAAAAGATTTTTAATCCAAAAGGCTTTGAGAGACAATTTGCATATATATATATATATATATATATATATATATACATACACACACACACACACATAGGCTTTTTGTATCTCTTTTCTAGATTAAGTTTTATGAATTGCTTTGTTTACTGGGGGTTGAAGTGAAAAATATGCAATCTACAAACTCAATCTAAAAAAAAAGAGAAATTTGAAAAAAAAAAAAAAAAAAGAGAAAATATAAAATCTGTAAAATAAAATTTTAAAATATTTTTCTAATTAAAGAGAATTTGAGCAAAGTTACTTTTAAAAGTTTTTTCGATCAGGAAGTTTTTTCAAAGCTTCATTTCTAAACCTTATGTTATTTATTTCCATTTAAAAAGCTTGATCTTTGCTTTCAACTAAAAAGAAACTAAATTCAGTCCTTACATAAAGTTGTAAACTTGCTTAGCAGTTCTGCTATTTTTATTAGATGGAAACACATTTGGACCTGCTTTTCCTGATTGGATTGCTTTTTGTTTTTGCACAGGTCAACAGCACCTTTGTGCCTCCTGGTGACAAATGTTTGCAGTACACATGTGAGAAGATCAATGGCCAGATTGTGATGAAGGAAACAAAGACCACCTGTCCTCCCTTCGACCCGCTGGACTGCGAACCTGTGAGTTTCATCCTGTGAAGATTAAATATGGTTCAACTTCCCATCAGATCTTCATAGACTATTAGATTTAATCTTGCTTAAGATCATGACACAGGATCTGAACTCATAGTTGTACTCACAAATGGGATGGCGGTGTTCTGTCAGATGAGCATACCCGTTCAGACCAGCATACCCATAGTTAATACCTGTTAACCCCTTTAGTCTATCCCTTTAGTTTTGCATAAAATATAAACTTTAAACTACCTTAATGGGCTTGTATCCTTTTAGTCATTGTGAGAAAGGGGCTTCTCCACCCCCAGCTCATGTCAGGACTGGCCCTCACCAATAAAGGTTAAAGAAGACGGAAACTAGGCAACTGAAAATATCGTGAAGACGGGTGCGTATTTATTTACAGTGCGGAAGTGAGCATACAAAAATATGAGAAACAAAAAAACTGAATAAACGCAAATGAAAACCGGCCTCAATCAGGCAACACAAAATATAAACTATAACCAAGACTTTAAATACAAACTTCCTTGCACTTACTTTTCCCTTAAACACAGCCTGGCATCAAACATGTGTTCAGCTCACCCTCTCTCTCTAGAATGAAAAAGCCCTGCCCTTTTAAAAGGCTTACAATCTCCAACTTACATCTAATTGGCTCAGAAATCAACCAATAGGAAAATAATGTTACAAAAAGTATTAAAAACACATTTTTAAATCCCCATACAAAATATCATAATATTCCCAAACCAACAATATAAATACTAGAAATGACACAGACAATATTTACACTCATACATGTTTGCAATCCAACAATACAATAATATTTTCCCCAAAACATTCAACTTCCGGGTGCCAAAAGCTCTCTCCACTGCCAGATCAGTGTATAAGAACTTTGGTTCCGAGAGGCTCTGGTTTCCTCCCGGACCTAATTGTTGACGCACCAGAATGTGAGTAGAGCGGAATGTTTGAATGTAACGTGGGGGTTATTGCAATGCGTGTGGATTACGGTGTCGAGACAACGGGTACCGCGCTGCTCGCTAAGATGGTGAGTAACTGAATGTTCGGACCGAATGTACATACTATTTTGCGTGTGTGTCATCTCGCGCTAGCCGCGGTAAAGAGGAAACTTGTAATGAACAAATGTTTGGCAGGCTACAGGTGCTACGTGCGCATGCGCATGTGTGTGTGTGTGAATGAGAGTGTCGGCGAGTGTAGGTAGTGGTGTTTCTGTGAAAAATGTAGTTATGATGTAATTACCATCCCTGGTCATTTTTCACAGTCATGCACAAATAAACTAAAATAAATTTAATTACTTATTTTTCCGTGTTTTTTTAAGCGTATGGCGTTCTGACCTTAAATAGTTTTGTTTTTTTACCTGACTAAATGGATACACGCCTGATGAGGTACTTTAAAGTCTATTTTCCGTACAAAACTAAAGTGATGAACACAAATCTGACGTCTGCTGAGTCATCTTTGTTTATAGTCAATACGTCTGCATTCGAATTGACTATAGGTGTGCTGGTCTGACGGGGTATGCTCATCTGACAGAACACTGTCTCTCACCGTTTTGGACGCTCTCACTAATACTGACAGTCTGGATGTCATTTATCTACCAAAGTCCAGTTATTAACGAGCATTGCTTTGAAGGGTGCAGCCTGTGGGGATGAACTCATGATGCTGAATGGCTGATTGAAAAATTGCTTTTCTCTCATGTTTCAAATATGCTCAACTGAAAAACAACCTAGATTCTATAACCTCAGAGTAACGTAAATATCTGAAGTCTTAATGCCATTACAATTTTTATTGGCTTGATAAACGTTCCTTATTTTGTATGATCAAATGTCCCGTTTTGCTTCTAACAATAATAAAACTGAGAGCGAAAAAAATGTTTTAGGAGACTTAGAGGTTCGACTTAAAAAATTAGATTCAGGCATACTTCCTGTTAATTTAGGGTTACTATATAGTCGACTGGTGACGAGAATCCCCTCCTTTACAATATGTGATGGGTCACAGAATAAGGTATAACATGAGATACTTTATTACTCAAAATGAAAGGTAATGCGCACAGGAAGCTCTTTACCTTCCTCTATCCTTTGCATCCATGCCACACATTCTAACCCCCCCCCCCCTTCTTCATCTAGGGAACCGAGACAACTGATGCCAGCGGCTGCTGCAAAACCTGTAAGTTGAAGCATCATGTGGAAATGTGCCACATGGCAGCTGGGTGTCTAACATGACGGAGTTTAAGAGCTGTTATATGTTCCAGGCAAACTGCAGAGCCTCTGTAAGGTGGACAGCAAGCTGACCGTCATGGAGGTGAATGGCTGTGTGAGCGCTGAGCCAGTTAACGTCACATCATGTGCCGGACGCTGCAAAAGCTCATCTATGTAAGAATATCTGCCAATATTTCATAGATTTGAAGGGTTTTTTTTATAGGGGGGTGATTTAAACTGATGCAGCAATAATGTTAAACACTAATCTTTAACATATGAAATTTTGCAAAAAAAATGTATAGCTTGATTGTTTGAATGCCTAAATTCATGTATTTGTCAGCTTAATAAAATAATTCCAGGTAACAGTTTAAGTGTTAGTAATATTATTGCTTAAGGAAAGAAGCCTATTTTAGATGGTGAACCAGTACAAAACATGTTGATGTTTTTATGTCTGCAGATACTCAGCAGCAGCTAACACGATGATGCACCACTGTGAGTGCTGCCATGAGGCCAAGACCAGCACAAGGCGTCTGGAGCTGACCTGTTCTGATGGCTCCAAAGTCCAGCACAGCTACACCCATGTGGAAACCTGCCACTGCAGCAAAGAGGAATGCCCAATCAGCAGCACATCTAAACCCCAGCGCCGCCGGAGACGCTGACCTGTCACAAGCTGACCATAAATCATGCAACCTTTCCAACCTGTTCTTATGTATAGTGCAATGTGCTCTTCTACAGGGTCACTGTTAGAAATAAAACTCCTTCTGTATTTCTCTGTCTTACAAAGAATAAATATATATCAGCAAAATTATCCCTTGTGTTTTGAACTTTTGTGGGAAATGTGTTGAATAAAACAAGCAAAGTTCTAAGCCAACCTGAAACTAGATCTATAGCAGCTGAACTTTACACTGCAGTTAAATAGGGGAGTAAAGATGTAGTAGAGGCCCTCCAGCACCACAGGGTGATACAAGCAGTCAGTGGTAAAACATCAAAACAAGACGTTTAAACAAGAAATTCATATTGATTAAAATGACAAAGAAAAAGTGAGGGATGTGTTTTTTTAATTTGAAGTGGAGTCTAAGATGGTTAGAAAGACAAAAAAGATGTACTCAAGTAAGGAAGTCATACAAAATTAAGAGAATTTAAAAAGTAGTTCTGAGTAAACTAGTTAATTATATTTATTATATATATAGTTTAACACATTTTCTAAAATGAAGACAACATAAGAACATGAGTCTAATTACTGGTTGTGGGACAGACCACTTAACAAGATAGCAGCGTCTCACTTTATTAATGAGCTATAAAGTATAAGTGGGCGGAACCCCGGACACTGCAAAAAGTCCTTTTTTCTTCCAATAACTGCATTTTTCTTTGATTTGGCAAGTACGACAATTTTGCCAATAGAATAAAATGATTTCTGTCTAAAATTAGAAAAAGCTTTAAGTGCATAACATGTAATTACCTTATTTCAAACATACAATTTCTTATTTCATTGCCAAATTATCATGTTGACCAGCTCAAATAAGGTGAAATGCTTATTTAAGATCAGTGTTTACAGTGTATGTACATGTAAATACATACACCTGCAGGCAGACATGATGATATGCTCAGTACTACTTCAACGGACAGTGATGCAGCACACACAGGTCTAAAGAGAAAAAAAACAACCCTTAACAGCGGGGGTGGACTCAGGTTTCAGGTCTCAAAAACATTCAATACAGCAATAGTTGATTCCTTCCTACTATCATAATCCTCACCGCCATGCAGGGGACCAAGACATCCTGCCTGGTCAGCCAAGCTAACAACGACCCTAAAAACTCCCCTTTCAAAGGCATAGACCAGTATGGAGTGTTGCAGGCTAACAAAGACCTCAATGACTCCCCGTTACTCAGGTGGGGACCTGTTCTTGCGGGGCTACTCTATAAAGCTTGGAACTCAACACTAATCCAGACATTTTGAAGTGAAAAAACTTCCTGGATGGGAAGCGAAACGTCTTCAAACTTGGAAAACAAAGTCCAGTGGATTGTTGTTGTTTTTTTTACTATTTTCAAATGACTATGACATGGACTGAAAATCTTCATCGCGGCTATTATAATAATACTATTATAATTATTAGTATATTATCTACTTCCAAGCAGGAGTACCCTGTGGAAATAGAGGAGCTCCACGGATAATGGACCCAAGTCGGATTAAACACCTTCCTGCTGAAACAGTACTAACAATTGCAACATGCTGGAGCTCCATCAAAGTACAACTCCTGTTCCTTTAAGAGATGTACGTCCGCCCTCATGTATTTGAGAAGTCCCCCTATCGAAGGCTTAAAGGGGAACCTGGAGGAGAGGGTGAGTGCTGGGCATGGTCTCATCTGTGATTGACACACTGGTGCTTACAGCGACAGAAACATGGAGAGCAGAGCGACCCCAGCGATGAGACGGAGCGGTAGATTCTCTCTCCACCTTCTTCACCGCACTGCAAAAGCTAAAATCTAAGCAAGTTTATTTTTTAAAATCAGTGCTTCTTCCTTGGTTTTGAAGAGGTTCAACAATTTATCAATAAAATAGGATGATTTACATTTAAAAGGAATAAAAATTATATTAAATCCATAATATACAACCATCTTATTTAATTCAATACAATTCAGTTTATTTATAGAGCGCCAATTTAGAACACGTCATCTCAAGGCACCTTACAATTCACCAGATCATACAGTCAAATTGATTCAAAGTTTTCTATCTAAGGAAAACCAGTTGATTGCATCGACTCATTTACTCTTCAGCAATCCCTCACACTATGCATGCTTGTAGCGACAGTGGAGAGGAAAACTCACTTTTAACAGAAGGAAACCTCCAGCAGAACCAGGCTAAATACCAAATTCTGCAGATCATCCTGTTTACCTGCTCAAATGAAGGGAAAATTGTGACCCAATGGCATAAGAACACACATTCCCTGTACTCTCAATTTTAATGCTAGCACTTTTTTCAAATAATTTTTTTTCTTTAAAATTAATGGGGTTTTATCTTCAACAGCTTTTAGGTCATGAGACTGACTGACACCAGACTGATATCTGCCGCTATCCTCCTCAGAACGTGGAGTTGGACCGTACTCGGATCAAAGCAAGAAGCTCTGGCAGCGAGCGAGGCAGAACAAGACGGAGTTCACAGACCGTACCCGCTCTGCAGCAAAGAGTGCTAATGGCGGGAGATTGGAGCAGGATAGCGGTAGATATGACCCAGATGAATGGCTGGGTCTAGCTCTGGGGTCTAACCAGGAGAAGACTGGACTCCAAGGAGACTACAGCACTGTGGGGAGAGATAATCTTTGAAAGCTACATGAGAAGGAATAAAGAATCATTTAGCAGTGCATCTTGTTAAAAGCTAAATTAAAGCTGCTTTTTTTAAAAGCCACTCACAAACCCTTAAAGAGCAGCAGCTACCTCAGCTCAACATTATCTCTGTCCTCCATTTTATGGGAAAAAGCTTTATTTCACTGCCCTCTTATTTAGTCATTAGTTGTTTTTTTTCTGTCTTTAAAGACACACCGCAGACTTTTACCCCATTTACACTACCCATGAAAAAACGATCCATGCTGAGACCGGTCCGAGCTCGGATCCGTTTACCAGGCTGAGCTTGGTTCTGACGAGCGTTTACACATCACGCTATCTCGGTTCCTCGACTCCTCGCCTCCTAGTGACGATCTGCGGTATTACTGCCAGTATTGAAGGAGGAAATCAAGCAGTTGGTGGCGGTAATGCACCAAAAGTTGTTTGCCAACCGCCATAAAACACAAGACAACGAAGAAGGAGGGAATCAAGCAAATCAAAATGTTGCGTGGAGAAGATTTCGATTGTTGTTTATAGTTGTTTCTTCTTCTTCTGTTTTGTGTTGGTTGGCAAGCAACTTCCGGAGGGACATTACCGCCAACTACTGAAATAGGGTGTGAATCGGGATGTGCAGCCAGACGGAGATGACGCGTTCTGCTCATGCGCTCTTGTAATCAGAGAACCGAGCCAGGGAAAAACCGAGCCGAGCCCACCTCTGGAACCGGTCTGCAGTTAGTGCGATCCGATTGTGTCTAGCTCGGTTCAGTTCAGTTTGCTTTCCATTTACACACGATAAGTTATCTCAGTTACTGAGCTTGTACCGGTCTCGGCACGCTTTTTCAAGGGTAGTGTAAATGGGGTATTTGTGACTTAAAGAGTTGACGCATGAGTTATTTTAAATAATTCTTCAGGCCAATATACAGCGCTTGACACTATCAATGCTAAGAGCGGTCCTCCATCGCCCGGCTTTAATTGTTGTCCAAACCCTTTTGAATCTTGCAGAGTCCTCTTATTTCTGGTTCGCATCTTTTGCTAGCTTCCATGTTTGCAGGCCGCTGCTCTATTTGCTCACATATTTAGAAACAGGGAGGTAAACAGTGAACTAGACTAACGCATTAGTGATGGAGAGGACCGATCGTTTATAGGGAGACGGTGAAAATGATTGGGTTAAAATTACAGTAAATCTCTTAACTTTTTGGTCCTTAAAATAAATAAAAAAAAAAACCCAGAAAACTTTAAACATCTTGGCCTCAAAAGCTTTATTGACAAGCTAATAATTAATTGAAGGAAGACCTTCAAAGTCACACTAGTTTCAAAAACTGACGTTAATGTAACAAGCCACTGCACACATATTTCAATATTTTATATCAAAATAACTTTAAAATACTTAAGCTTTTAAGATACATCTAAGAAAGTTTTAGATTTTTTTTGTTTTAAACAGACGAAATTTCCTTTACATAAATCATTCACCTGAAACTTCCTCATCATAGAGATTTCTATATAATTTATTCCATAAGACTTTTCATATAGCTAACATTTAATAGCTAAACATGAAGGGAACACAGGGACTAAAAACACCAAACAAACATCAGAGTGACTCACTACAGCTCAATCAGTGCAAATCAAACCCTGGGTTATGGGGGGGTGTTGGAGTGGTTGGGGGATTCTACTTAATTAACAACAAGGTATATAAGTGACAAACAAACCTGAAGCAACACTTACAGAATGGATCAAGTTCTACTTCTCTGCCTGGCTGGTCCCATCATTGCAGTACTACAGGGCTGTGTACAAGTACGAACCGTGTACTTCTTCCTCTGAGCTGTTTGGGTAATTTTACTGAGAGGAAACAGGCCTTTGATCAGCAGCTCGTGGATCAATTAGGATCTCAGGAATAATGTTTCTTTGGGAGAGCTGAGTGTGTGCATGTGTAAAGCTGCAGTCTTCTCTCTCTAGGCGATAGCTTCCTCCCTGCCTGCTTGCATTCATGCATGTTTGTTTGCTGGAACTGTGTGGTTAGAGTTCCTCCGTCATCTGCAGCAGAGAGTTGATGGCAGCATCCTTGTCCCCCTGCTGCGCCTCCAGCACCGTGCGAACCACCTCCTTGTCCAGGTTGGGGAACATGTCCTGAAGAGCCTGCAGGTCCTCCTCGCTGCACACCGGCCCTTGGCCTCCCACCCCCGGCATGGTTGTCGGTACAGCCATAGGTACAACGCCCTGGTTGTAGACTCCAGGCACTCCTAATGTTGACACAGACAGACAGTAGGAAAGCAGTTCTAGTTCATAATTTATTTTTTTATTTAACCTTTATTTAACCAGGAAAGTCCCATTGAGTTAAAGTAACTCTTCTTCCAGGGAGTCCTGGCCAAGAAGGCGGCTTAAAAAGTTACATTAACATAAAACCACAGGAGACAAGACAACCACAGCTACATATCATCTAGGCAAAATTAAACACAACACAACAAGATTGGGCATACACATACAACCAAAAAGCA